TCTCTCTCTTTTTCACTGATTTCTCTGGCAACTTTCATTTTCAAAAACCAAAACCAAATACGAAATTTGAAAATGAATTCTTTGTTGGAACATCCACCAAACGCCAGTTAGAGAGAGAGGGAGAGAGAGAGAGAGAGAGAGAGAGAGAGAGAGAGAAAGAGAGAGTGTTATATATGACCACAAGCAATGAATTTTTTGTTTTGGTCGGAGAAAATTGAATTGATTTAAAAACGAGAAAAACAAAAACAAAAAACAAACGAAAATGAAAATGAAATTTTCAAAAACTAAAAACAGAAACGAAGAAATTGACGAATCAGGCCTATTTTAAAGAAAAAAATTCATTCTTTTTTTTGCACATCATCTTAAGCGACCAAAAAAAAAACGAAAATTAATGATTCTGAAGTGGAGAACAACGGTACACAGGTACGACACATTGACAAAGATGATCATCATCATCATCATCGAGGAGAAGAAAAATAAAAAATAATAATCATCGAAAGAAGAAAAAAAGAAGAAGAAAGTGAGGAACAAACGTAATTTAGTTTTGTTTCGTTTTGTTTGTTTGGCTGTCATTATTTTTCAAAATTTTTCACAAATAAAAAATTTTTGACAAATAAAATTATTGCAGCCCAAGAACCGATCAATTTGTCTTTGTTGATGACGATGTTTTTTTTTGGCCGTAATTGCCTCGTTTTCGGTTTATTTATTCGAGGAGAGGGAAAACGAGTGGCAAAATTTTGTTTTTTTCAAAAAAAATTTTATAATAAAATTAATATTTGATGGCCATCATCAACGAAACAAACTGAACGAAACAAAAGAGAAAATCACAAAATGACAATTTTTGTTGTTGGTGTTTTTCGTACTTTTCGGAATGAAAATTACCGAAAAACTTGTCTCTATGGATAACACACATAATCATAATGATGATGATGATGATCAAAGTAAACGAACCTAGCGCCTAGAATGATTCAGTGAACCGAAACGAAATGAAAATTTATTTTTTCGTTTTTCGGGTAAATTTCGGGTAAAAAATGGTAGGTCTCTGTTTTTGTCTGGTCGTCGTCGTTATCGTTTGATGATTATGATGTTAATTTCCATAAATTTTCTTTTTGGTTTTTTTTTGGTTCAATCAAACCACACACAAGAAACCAGAAAAAAATTACCAGAAAAAAAACCAGAAAAAATTGATGAGATAGAGAGGTAAATAGAGCGAGAAATAGAAAAAGAAACATATTTTGTTGATGTCTTTCGAATTCGAATGTTTTTTTTTGGATTCGAATTCGAAAGAATTTTATTTTGGTTCCATGTGGGCGGTACGGTGGGCAGATGTTCAATAAGCCTATTGCTGTTGTTTGATGAGTGGGCGGATTCGAAACCGAAAAAAAATCAACTTTGGAAACTTCCGTTTTTTGATTGATTAAATATTCGAAGAAAAATGACAACATTCGAATGTTTTTCGTTTTTGATTCGAAAAAACCTTGTTTTCGTCATCGTCATCGTCGTTTTTCATTTCAAAAAACAAGAATTTTATGGTATAATATTTAATAACAAGTTTTCATATTCCGACCAAAAAGAAATGATTTGTCTCCACCATAGTTAATTATCGTTGGTGGCCAAATAATAATGACACTCAGACTTGGACGTCGACTACTATGATTTATCTTCACTTGCATAGATACACGATAATCACCTGTAATATTCAGCAATGACGACAACAAAAAAATTGTTTAATAATCTAAACACGTATTCTTTCGAATTGAATATTCTTTTCAAATGAAAATGGTGTGAATTTGTAATAAAGAAGTGCTGAGGGAAAAAAAATTCCTTCAATACTGAATACATAGAATTAGAAAATTGATCCGAAAAAATTCAATTCATCTCGCGGGTAAGCAATTCTTCGTTTGAACAAGGTCAAATCAAGTTTCATTCAAGTATATTTATCATATTCAGAAATTCAAGGTAAAATTTTCGTTTAGCTTAATTGAATAATATTTTAATAATAATAAAAATATTTTTTTTATCAATCATCTCTCTTATCTAGAATAATATGGAATAAAGATAATAATTTTTTTCGAGAAAAAAAAATATATTAAAATTAATGATTCGAATCAAATTAACCTAACCTAATTGAACTATAAATTATAGTCATCAACCTAACCTCACTCGACTATGAATCACAGTCATAGTCATGGTCATCAACCTAACCTCACTCGACTTTGAATCATAGTCACAGTCATGGTCATCAACCTAACCTCACTCAACTATGAATCATAGTCATTGTCATGGCCATCAACCTAACCTCACTCAACTATGAATCATAGTCATAGTCATAGTCATGATCATCAACCTAACCTCATTCAACTATGAATCACACTCATAGTCAAAATTCAAAAATTTTCTTTTTCCTGGTTAATTATTTATTTATTTGAAAAAAAAACTTTTTAATTATCATCTCAACATCATCAACAACAACAACAACAAAAATATACAAATAAGAAGAAAGTAAAATAACAATATTATTCTTATTACCACCTCATTTATAATGATGAGATTCTCTTCAATAATTATCTCATTTTTTGTTTGTTTGTTTATAAAATTATATTTCAACGTTTGTGTTTAATTATGTGTGTGTAAATAGAGGACACTTGGGTGTTTTGAAAATCATGGTTAAAAATTCTGATTTGTGATTTGTGTTTTGATGAGAAAAAAAACAATGAAACAAAAATTGAAAAAATGAAATGTTTTGTGTTTTGAAACAAAAAGAAAAATCATTACATCAGCATAATAATAATAATAGGCAATATTTTTCATAAAATGAATTGTTTTTGGAAACAAAAAAGTTTTTTGTTCCAAACACCGGCTGTTGTTATTTGAAAAATGAACGATTGAAACGTAGAAGAATGGTCTGAATCCATCAAATTATGAATCATCATCATTTTGGAAATGTTTGTTTTTCGTATGGCGGCAACCAGCGGGGCAATATTATTGATGAATTTCATAAGTTTCTTCAAAGAGTTTGGCACACACATTTTTGTCCATTGGCTGATGGTTAGTTTGATGATGATGATCGTCATTCATTTTTTTTTCAGTTATTCTTGGTCGGAATTGTTAACAGTGGTAAGTTAAATTTATTCGATGATTCCGATAAACGAAGAAATATTTTTCGTATCAATATTTTTACAGGTATTTTTAAATCCAATAATAATAGATTACAAATCAGTTTATAATAATGTTGGATATGTTTATAAAACTATAAATATTATAATATAAACAACAAACACATTTATAAATATGGCAGACGTCCATTTCCATATAAAAAAACATCAAACATCATCAATCAAAATCAAAAACGGGAAAAAAATGAATAACGACGGAAAATGAATGATTTTTTGTTCGTTCGAGCAAAAGAAAAACGAAAAAAAGAAAAAAGAAACGAGAAATGAAAAAAAAAGTTAGTTTCATCAAAAAAATATTCAAGTAAAGTCAGTAAAATGTTGACTTCCTTCCATCATCCATCAACCCACGCAAACAACATACATGATATGGGCGGAAGGACAATGAAATGAAAATATTTAATAAAAATAACACTTACTTTGCCCGAAGGTAAACAAGAAACATTATACAATATTAATAATATAATTATAGTCCAATTATCACGATTATATTCATTTTCAATATGATAATAATAATTTAATGCTCGCGATGAAATACTGTAAGCATTTTGGTTTTTGGCAAAGTTTTCCCGTATCAAGAAAGAAAGAAAGAAAAGATTATTTTCAATCAAAAAAAAAAGGGTTAAAAGATTGATTAACAAACCTAATTAATTCTTGCTCGATTTGTCCGATAAATTCTTCTTTTTGTTGTTGTTGTTGTTGTTCTGTTTGTTGTTGACGATCCAAATCATTATATAAATAGAATAATATACGTAATGAACATAATAAACTTTTAATTTCTAATTGTGAAAGTAATATTAATTTATCTGCCAATAATTTTGATTTTGTTTTATCCAAATATAATTGATTAAATTGATTGAAAATTTTCAATAAAAATCGAGATAAACGTAACAGAATTGTTGTTGTCATTTGTGTATACATTCCATTTGTAATTATGTTACTAATGATGATGATATTTTCATTCGAATAACATAATGGACCATTGTTTGTTGATATAGCCGTCGTTTCACAATAATCATCATCATCATCATTAACATTCGATGTTTGATTTTTTTGTTTATCCAAATCAATAAATTTGGAACAATTTTCCAAATATTTCAGCATTTCTGAATCAAAATTTTTACTGAATGATGGATAAAATACAATATTATCGATTGCTTGTATTAAATCTAATTGTATTAAAAATTTTATCTTTATCAATTCCAATTCTTCATCCGTTAATATTGATTTTTGTCTTTGCTTATGATTGACATGATTAACATGATTGGCATTGGCATTGGCATTGGCTGAATCCGAATCAAAAAGCTGTAAAGGTTTCGTTGCATCATTTATACGTTCAATAAATTCCAATGTCATTGTCCATGTTTTTGAATTATATTTCCGTCCACAAGAAATTATCAAATTTTCAAAACAATTAATACCTGAACGTGATAATTGTTCATTGTCTTGTTGTATACACCAGAACAATTGTGAATATACATCTTTCAACAAGAATGATCCAAGTAAATCAAAATATTGTGTAAAAACATCAACAATCGAATACAGGGCATGATTACATGTTGTTGTCATCCATTCAATACGATCGGAATGTGAACCGGGCAGCTTCAAACTATCAAAAATTCGGAATATAATTTTGAATAAATCTGTCCACCAATTTTCACGGAAAACATTTCCATGTGATTTGATAATTTCAAACATAACCGTTAACGCTCGGGTACGAACATCCAATTTACATTGATTAACAATGCAGGATAATTCGAATAGGATTGGCAGCCAACCACGTATCCAAACACGATCATCTTCACTGGCTAAAAATCCATTCGAAGTCGATGATGTTTGCTTATCATCCAAATTATTAAATTCTTTAAAATATTGTGGTTGTTCAGCAACATAACGTGCACAAGCTCGTATCAAACGTATTGATTCCATACTTGTATCCGGAAAATGTTGATTACAACCAAATTCCGATAAACATTTTATTGCATCTTGAAATGAATCAATCATTGCGGTAAAATTCCGTTCATAAATATTATTAAAAATATTACATGTTGTTTGAAATGATAGATCAAATATATAAGAATCAGTTTCCGATGCTGCAATACGAAAAACACTGAATATATTTTTCCAACCAGATTTTATATTACTTGCTTGTGAATTAACCATCTGTGCAATACACCGGACAACCATATCCCGAATGGTAATCGATGAATTACATTTCATTATATGTTCAAATGGCCGTAGAAAATCTTTTTGAAATGAAAAATTCGATAATTCACCTTTTTCAATAAATTTCATTGATAATTGTCGAAGTGAATCAATGGCAAAAAATGCAATCTCTTCATTCGGATTACAACCAACTTTATTAAAATGTTCACCCAATATTTCCCATATTCGTGACCATTGTAAACGTATACGACTCATATTATAACAGGATATTTCAACAATTTTCTGCAGACTAAACATTCTTGGATTTTTTTGATTCGACAATTCTTCACTTGAAACTTGACAAAGTGCTTTAACAAAATCAACAATAGCATTACCATCTAAATGTATGGAACCGGTAAATATCCTATCAACAGCAACAATAACACTTTGTGATGATGCTTCAATCATTGATTCGGAAATTCGAGATTCTTTTTCACGATTCCGTGCTAATGATTCCAGCGCTACAAATGATTCTAGCTTGAATTGAAAACCAAAACTATTTCCACCATTTTGATTCGGAATCTGTGATAAATGATTACTATGATGATAATGATGATTATTATGTGAATTAACCATTTGGCCTCCTTTCGTTCCGATTAATTGTGCCAATTCTAGCTGTGAAATACAACGAAGAATATCTAGCCAACTTTTTCCCAAATAATTTCCATCCGTATAAGCAACGGTTATTAATGTTTTAATTGTATCAATATTCTTGGTTTTCATTTCAATAATCGGTACATTTGCATTAAGTAATGTAAATCGTGATAGGGCTTGTACAAATGCATCCCTTTCCAGCGACATTTGAAATATACATGCAATACGTATTGCACAACGTATACCATTTAAACAATGTGATGCTATTGATTGATCATCATTACAATCTTGTAATCCTACACTAAATGCAGCTAAAAATGATGTCCATGTTGTACGAAACATTGGCCGTACATGTTCGAGATGTTTGGCCGATGTAAATGGTGATTCAACATGTGATACACTTTCCATTAATGCTTTTGCTGTTGTTGCCATTGTTTCCATTTCCATATTATACAACAGGCGTCTTGCTTTTTCACTTGTCAATTCTTTTCCGGAAACTTTTTTCATACCAATTGCACCTTTCATTTTTATTTCACTTTCAGCAATTTCATCATAAATTTGTGATAGATATTCTTCAGGTAGATCTTTACTTTCATTAATACCTCTATTTAATTTTATATAATCATCTTTTGTCATTTTACGTTTTACCTGTGGACTATGCAAATCGGTAGTTAACATTATAATTGAATAAGCTAAAACATAAACAGTATCAGCACTTGTAAACAGGTTATGATTACGATTAGTTTCGAAATATCTGGATGCAAATTTTTCCATAAAACGATCAATTTTTTGTGCTTCACCCGGCAAGCGGAAGCCTTCCAAGAAAAACCGTAATGCACTAACAATATCACGTTGGGAAAAATCCATTTGATCAACATAAGCATACATAACTTCTTTGTTAAACTGATTAAAATCACCCATAAATTCACCCATATTTGATTTATCTAAACGATCATTTTGATGAAAAAATTGTGCAACACTTTCGGGTTGCGAATCAATAATATTATGATGTTGTAGGAATTTTATTCCTTTCGAAGCATTCATATTAAATAGATCAATACCTTTATCGATAATATTTTTTTGATTTTTAACTTCTTCAAATTTTTCCGGATTATCATCAAGGTTATTAAACGAAGAAGTTTCATGTAACGATTGTTGCTGTTGATCTTCTGATTTCACATGATTCATTGATTTTTCATTAACCAAATCAGTTTGTTGATTTGGATTTACATAAAGATCATTACTCCATTCAACCATACATTTCAGTATGGATACCAGACATTCTAATCCTTTTATACGCATACTACGTTCTTGTGTTTGATTAACAATACCGGAATCCAATATTTGACCACCACCTTGTGCAATTTTTGATAAATCATTAACTAGTCGGCCAAATATATTTTCGGATGATAAATCACAATCATAATTAACATAAATATCAACAATACTTTGTGCATCAGCACATATACGGGTTAATGCCTGTATAACCATCCATTTATGTTCAAATGAACTGGAAATTGTTTCTAAAATATTTAGAAAAATTTCTTTGAAAAATACTTCAATTTGCATTTTGAGATAAATTTTAAATTTTTGAAATAATGCTAAAAATATTGCCAATGATAATTCAAATATTTCCGTAATATTTGATACACCATTTTTGGATAATGCAACACACAGGTATTGTTTTATTGCAACAGCAAACATATCACTTTGTTGAAATATTGGACCAGAATTTTGTAAAATTTGTAGAATTAATTGCAGTGATAATATTTTTGAACGTAATTCATGTGATTTTAAATCCAAACTATTATTCATATCCATTAATGGTTTCATACTTAATTTACATAGCGAACGAAATATTAAATAAGCATCTTTTTGATATAAATTTTCAAATGATAAATGTATAGTATCGTTTGTTTCGAAACTTGTTTCAAATGATGAAATATTGGTCAAATTCTGGTTATTCAATGATTTCAGCGATGATGAATTGTTGTTATTGCTGATCGATAATGATGATATTTGTGTACGATTTGATTGTAAAGAAATCGAATCACCATCAGAATATTTACAAATCGTCGTTACAACATCATCCACTAGCGATTTGATTGAATTTGATGGATTCTGTTCGGATATTTGATAATAAATATCGAATAATTCATTTGAAGATTCGGGATTTGTATCCAATGAATTATTATCACAATTGTTGTTTTGATGGGAAATTTCCCCAGAATTTCCAAATGATGAAGTTGTGGAAGTGGCGGATGATGATGAAATAGATTCCATACGTGAAAATATCACATTTAACATTTGTGTTAAAGCTGCTTTAGCTGTTGTTTGATTTACTAATTTTTTACTACTTAAATAAATATTATAACAAGTACGAATAACTAATAGGATACTTTGTTCATGTACTGGACATGATTGTGATGTAACTATTGTTAGCAAAGCTTTTATAATTTGCAGTTGAACATCATCATCTGTATTTGGCCCAATAAAACAATTACAAATACATGTGACCATTGTATCGATAAGTAATTTTTTTTCTTGACCATCAACATTACCACCATCACCTTCATCAGCATTTGATCGATTATCAATACGATTACCAGTAAAATGACCATATGCAATTAATTTTTGTATACAATCCAATGCAATAATAATAATACGATTCGAACGTGATTGACATGCCAATTCAAATGGACGAAAATATATTTCATCATCAAACACTGATTGACCTTTACGATTTGTTGGTTGTGGCAGGGTAGATGAATGTTGATGATTATGTTCATTCGATTGTTGTTGATGATTGATTTGCTGCTGATGATTGCTGCTGTTTGATGTTTTAATTTGGTCATTTTTGATTTTTTCTGTCGAAAAAAAACAAAGAAAAGAAGAGAAATTAATCAAATGTTTTTGCAAAGAATAAATCACATACCAAGAACAATTTCACATGATTTTTTTAATTTTTGATTGTGATTTTTTCTTATATCACGATCGGCGAGAATTTTTTCCAATGCACGACAAATAAACATTATTTTTTCCGTTTTAAATGAACAATTTTCAAACATTATTTCATTTGAATAAAACACATTATTATTGAAATCAATTTCGTTTAAAAACTTTTCGATGAAAATGATGATGATCCGCGGATTATTTGTTTACAGTTTTTATGGGATGATGAGAACACTATTTCGAAATAAATATGCAATATGCGGAGTTGTTTGTTGTGGAAATAGATTCAACAAGTTTTTTTTTACTTTTTCAATGAAAAAAAACCTCAATTTTTTTACAAAAAAAATCGTAATAAACATCCAGATTTCTCAATATGTTGATGATAAGCGATTTGTTGTTGTTGTTTTCGTTTTTTCGATTTTGTTTTCGTTTTTTTCATTGATTCAACTTGACGTGTAAACGTTGAGCCCGTCATCATTGTCGCTGTTGTTGTTGTTGTTGATTCGATTTGATGTTCGTCCTTTATGAATAGGTTTCGAATGTTTTTTTTTCTGTTGTTTGTTTCGGTTCGTTTCATCGTTTTTAGACAATTGAATTTGGAAACCAAGAAAATTTTGATTTTGATTTCGATTTTTCTAAAATTGTATTTTTTTCGAATGAAAATTTCACCCGAACAATGTCCGAACATCAAACAAATAATAATATGAATAATAATAATAATAATAATGAAATGGATGATTCAAAAAAATATGGTGGTTGTGAAGGTCCTGATGCTATGTATGTTAAATTAATTTCATCCGATCGACAAGAATTTATTATTAAACGTGAACATGCTCTGACTTCGGGTACAATAAAAGCCATGTTAAGTGGTCCAGGTATGGTTTAATTGTTGCTCAATGTTTTGATTAATTTTCATTTCGATTTCATTTTAGGTCAATTTTCGGAAAACGAAACAAATGAAGTAAATTTTCGTGAAATACCATCACATATTTTACAAAAAGTTTGTTCATATTTCACTTATAAAGTTCGTTATGCAAATAGTGCATCCGAAATACCTGAATTTCAAATTGATCCAGAAATTGCCTTAGAACTGTTGATGGCTGCAAATTTTTTGGATTGTTAAATTCATAATGATTGTCTAATGGTTTTCTTTTCTGCTGTGTCTTTGATTCATCTAAGAACGTTAATCAGTTACCTGATTCTACCTGTAATTTATAAAAACAAATGAAAAATAAAACAAACGGATAACTTTTCGAAAAAAAAAGATTTTTATTTTTGCCAAACAGTCATTTTGTTTAAATTTTTTTTATATTAGAAAAGTGGTTCAGGAAATTCAAATGTTACTTCACGTCCAGTTAGTTTTTTATAAACAGCTGAAAATGTATCCACTTTATGTTCAATTTGGGTTTGTGATGATTTATCCAAATGAATTTTGAATAAACGACTACCACCTAAACGAATACGTGTACGTTTACCAACAATTTCGGCCGGAAAAACCAAATCTTCCAAAATTGAATCATAAACAGCAGTCAATGTACGGCTTCTTGGTCTTTTTTGTTTAGATTTTGTTCGAAGTTTTCGTGTTGGTTTCGGCAGAATTGTTCGTTTAGCAATAATAACAACATGTTTACCACTGAATTTCTTTTCCAATTCTCGAACAACACGATTTTGAATTTTTTGAAATTGTTTCAATTGTGGTACGGGAACATTAATAATAATGGCTTTTTTACCCGAAACATCAACTTCTTTTGCACCGGTTATATGCAATTCACGAAGTTGACTTTTTAAATCGGTATTCATTTCCAGATCCAATAATGCCTGTGAATCAAACAAAAAAACAAAAATCGAATGTTAAAAAAATCAACATTCGAAATCAACCAAAAACAAAAACAAACCTGAGCAATATTTTCTTCGAATGGATCAATTTCTTCATTACCCGATTTAAGAATTTTATTACGTAAAATGTTGGCCATTGTTTTTTCGTTTAGCGAATTGAATTTCGAAAAAAACCGAAAATTTTTGATGACATAAACACAAGCCGAAAGAAATTTTTGGAAGAAAAGAACGTGCCACACACTCACAGAACAGGATCAAGGAAGCATGCAGGTTTACAATCACAATCGAACTATCGATAGTGAAAATTTAGCCCCACCTCACTATCGATTATTATGATGATGATGCTGCTGTTTGATAGTTATAAGCTTCGAAAACAAACATTATCCGAGAGAGCGAAATACGATTGATGGCAAAATTTCTTCGTCGTTGAGAGGGTTGCTCACCTATATATTTTTACAAACCGTGATTTGTTGTCTGCAATATTTTGTTGTTGTTGACATGAAGTTTATATCAAAAATAACAGCAGAAACTCAACACCATTTCCAAGAATTATCCGTAAATTCCCCATTAGATTAATCATCATCATCATCATTATAATGATGATTTCTTTCAATTGAAATCCGAATCATATCAAAGAATCGAATCGAACGACGACGAAGAGAGAAAGAACATTGAGAATTTGTTTGGTTGTGTGTTGAAATTTACAAGTTTTTTTTTTCGTGAAAAAAATCAAAGTTTTTTTGAAAAAAAGAAACGAAATGCCCACATGTAAATCAATAAAACGTTTAATTCCAGCATCATGTGCATGGATTCTATTATTAACTACTACCGGATTATTTTTTATTTATCCGTAAGTTTTAAAATTTTGAAAACTTTTAAAACTTGTAATTTTTTCTTTTTTTTCTAAATTTAGCTGCCGTCGTTTACATGAAGAATATCATTTTTCCATAACAATAGCTCAAGCAATAATTGCTTTTTATGTTATTTCCAATTTATTTGCCACTACATTTGTTGATCCGGGTATTATTAAACGAGGTAAAACGAAATTATGATGATTTTTTTTCACCAAAATGAAATCAATTTTGAAATTTTTAACGAATTTTCTAGCTGATTCGGATGAAGATAAAGATGATTTTCGTGCACCAATCTATAAAGAAGTACAAATAAAAGGACATACTGTACGAATGAAATGGTGTTCTACTTGTCAATTTTATCGTCCACCAAGATGTTCACATTGTTCTGTTTGTGACAATTGTATTGAAGTATGATGGTTGATTTATCTTTTTTCTATGTTAAAATTAATGTTTTCAATTTTTTTAACCCCCAAATAGAAATTTGATCATCATTGTCCATGGGTTAATAATTGTATCGGTAGAAGAAATTATCGTCATTTCTTTTTTTTCCTGATATTCTTAACCATACATATGATTACAATATTTAGCTGGTGTTTAATATTTGTGATAAATAATCGTAATAATGTTAATGATACGGCTGTTGTTGTTTCGTAAGTTTTATCTCATTGACAAATTTCAAATTTCAAATGTTTTTTTTTCCAATTTTTCAACAGAATTACATTAATCGTAATCATTACCATATTTTTCATTCCAATTGTTGGCCTAACTGGTTTTCATATTGTACTTGTTGTTCGTGGTCGTACTACAAATGAACAGGTAAAAGGGAAAAATTTTGTTTTGGATTTTTAAATTGAAAATTTTGTTTGTTTCGGTAATCCAAAAAGGTCACAAGGAAATTTAATCGCCAAATTAATCCATTTTCAAATGGTTTTGGTTATAATTTTATATTTACTGTTTGTGGACCTAGATATCCTGGGTAAGTTTTTTCTATTGGATTTTTGATTTTAAAAATTTTCCAATTTTTTTTTTCTTCACTTGAAGATTGCATACGGCAAACCATTTAAAAACAACACCAAAAGATTCAGATATTCGAATCTATATGGATAATAAACCGGATAATAATGAAAAAAAATTGGATGATTTAAATTTTTCCGTTGTTGATAATGTATGTTATTCCTATGATTTGAGTGAAAATTTTCATTCATTTTTCATTTTCCATTTCAGCCAAAAGATATTTTACTTGAAAGATTTGATGATGGACCAATTGGAAACACTAATAGTAATAATAATAATCCGAATTTGAATCAAAATCAAAAAAGAATCGTGAATGAATCTTATCAAGAATCTTCTTCATTAATTCGAAATCAACAACAACAACATTCGAATAATCGAATTCAACAGCAACAACAACAATCGATTAATCGATTGGGAAATAATAATGGATTAAAAGCGGAAGAAAATCATGTCGTTACAATGCATCATACGGAAAAGTATTTTTGTATTTCCTTTAATTTTGGAAATTTTAATTTAAAAAATTTCTTTTTTTCCCATTTATAGTGGTACAAAAGAGACAACATTTATTGCATTATCGTCATCATCATCATCATCGAATCCGAATAATAATGATTCGTCGAATAATAAATTATCATCAAGTATATTTCCAAATCAATATAATAATAAAATATCAGCAAAAAGTTTATCGATTAATGAAAAAATATCAGCAAATTTAATGAACAAACAACAACAACAACAACAATATTCATCACCAATGAAAAATGATCATCCTCATCATCGTTTTGGTGGTAATATTAATGTTAATGCTAATGGCCCTGAAGGTGGAATGCTTATCTATTATTCACCTGATGCAGGCTATAATAATGTAAATAATTTACTACATTCAAATAACCGATATAATTCGGATACTGAGCTTCAAAATTTTCAATCATTACCATCATCATCAACAACACAAATGAAAAATAATAATGGAAATTTCCTTCAATATATCGATGATGATGATGATTCATTAGATTTTGGTTTGAATAGTACAAGCAGTGATAATGTAACAACAAAAACGAAAAAATATTTTAAACAACCACCACCACCGTCATCATCATCATCATCAAAACCAATGCCTTTTCAAAAAGCATTAGATATTAGCAATAAAATTGAACATCATCATCAACAACAACAAAATAAAAATAATGGTGCCAATACTGGTGTTGTTGGTAGAAACCAGGTTGAAAATACTGTGAATAATAATTCGAATCGTCAAAGTCAATATGAAATGAATTATGAAATATCTGTTTGAAAATTTTATTAATGAAATGATGTCCATGTAATTTTTGTTTGTTTTTTTTTGTAAATAAAATTGAAATTATAAAACCAAAAAAAAATTTGTTTCTTTTATTTTGGAAAATTCTGTGGGGGGTAGCGAAAGGGTTAAATATCATCAAATAAATTTCTTTCAATATCAACAATATTTTGTTGTGGTTGTTGATCTTGATCTTTGATCAATGTTGGTTCATCGGGTAATAATTTTTCACGGCTTGCCGTACGATTTAGGTTGGAATTTACATCACGTTTACCGAATTTGGTTTTTTTAACACCGCCACCACTGACATTTGATGATGATCCGGTAGCCATCGATGATCGCTGTTTTCTTTGTTCTCGTTTAACCAATTTTTCACCTTCCAATAAATATTCTTGACTTATTTCATCAAACAAACTATATTGGCCAAAACCAAAATACGAGAATAATTTCATATCTAATTTGAATAAAATTGCCACACAAAATACGCTCATAAACAATGGTAAATAGATGAAAATATAATCACTAATATAGGATATTGTATCTAAATGTCCCATTATTTGTGTGAATGATGTTTCTTCTTCAATTGATTCGGTTGATATATGTGAATCAAAATGAATTAAACTTAGAAAATTTAGACATAGTGGTGATGCCAAACGACATAATAACCTTTTTTGAATGAAAACAAAACAAAAAGTTATTTACAAAATTATCAGTTGTTAATTTAAAAAAACTTACATTCCACTAAAAATTAAACTATATTCATCTGTTTGTTGATGTTTCGACAAGTAATAATAATTAAAAATTCTTATTTTAAATATTGTATAATAACAACAGCAGCTTAGATATGCAATTGAAAGCATTGAAAATAGCTTTTTTTGGTGTTTTGAAGAAAATAGAAAACAAACATGGTTAAACGAGAAAAAAGTTAGTAAAAAACCTACCTCGATCCAAAAATAATTATAATCAATAAGATTAATAATCAGGGCAAAAATACTGATTGGTATTGATTTGATTGAAAATGTAAATTCCGACCAAACAATCGATATTGAAAATAATGAAAATAAATAACCAAAAACAAGAAAAAAAATCTTGTAAACGATAATATGTTTATGTTGCAGCAAAAATTCAACATTTGGAACATTACGAATAAGCCAACGTTCAATACGGGAAACATTGTTCAATGATGTTGATGTTTTTAAAGAAGAATTTTCATCATCATTCAATTCTTTAATAATTTCTTCCAAATGTATTGCCTGTTTGATTAGCATTCGATATTGTACTTCAGTACGATGACTAGTTTGTAAAGCTTTATTGATTTTTGAATTCAAGCTGACCAAACGTTTTTCATTAAGTTCAAAATTCAAATCCAAATCAATTGATGATTCATTTAGTTCATTACGAAAAGATTCGGGACATTTATCAATGATTATCTGTAATTTATTCATTAAATATCGGGAACCATTTTCTTTCGATATTTTAACATAATAAGAACGTAATTCATCCAACAAATCTTCAAGTTGACAATTTGTTTCATATTTTTCTTCATTAATTTTTCCAATACGAAAATATAAATAATTCAGTTTATATTGATGATTACATTGATAATTTTTAAGAAAATTTCTTGGTATATCAACCAATCCATAACTCAATAGGATTAGTAGTAAAAATAAACCAAATGTATTCGATGCTGATATACAGAAAATTTTTAAACTTTCCATTGTTAAACGTTGTTTGGTTGCATAATAGAATAGAAATATGAGGAATAGAAAACCAAATAAACAATAATATTTTAAATTTTCTTTCAATGATGATTCAATTTTTTTCCAAACAGTAAATTCACCTGACATTGAATATGATTGAAATATTGGTAATATTATCCATGTTAACAGTTGTGATGACCAATAAATAAATTTCCATAAATTTTGTAAAACGTTTTTTGGTACATAACTCCATGGTTTGGCACAAATGAATGTTGGTTTTTGTTGACTTTGACTTTCATTATTTGACTTGATTTGACTGGAATTGTTGCTGGCGGTTAAATTATGGCCAATTTGGGTAAAATTGTGATGATCAAACGATAATGGTAATGGTGATGAGATGTTCGAAATGATAGAAGTAGTTTGGTTATTGCCAATATAATCGGTTCCATTATTTGTAATATTGTTACGGATGATACATTGGTTGTAAATGGTCTATTAAAATTACAAGATTTTATAATTAAAAAGTAAAAAAAACTTTGATTACAAATAAAATTACAAACCGATGTAATATCCAATGGTAGAATAAATACAACATTAAATGAAAAAAACCACGAAATAAAAACACTAATTGTAATCAGGAGGTTTTGACGACCAAAATTACTATAACGATTTAATAGATAAAATGTAAGAAAAAAATTTGTTATAATAACAGCCAATAATGGTATGTAGAGTGGCATCTTCTTCTTCTTCTTCTTCTACCATCTGATCATTCAGAAAGATTCATATTTTTCCGATTTTCAAAAAAAAAAATTGAAAAATTCTTAATTTTTGGCGAATCTGAAAACAAAACACTCGAGAAATTGCCAAATATGGTAGCATTGTATAAACTTTTGGAAAAAAAACACTGTACAACTTGTAATGTATGAAAATTGAAAGAAAATCTTTTTGATCAATGTAACTCAGCATATACGCAATATTGAATGTTTTCTCAATTGCGAATGTATTGACTGAAATCGAATTTTTTCTCATTCAACACACGTGAATTCCAGTGGCGCGCCAATTCGATTGTCACTTTACCTTGTCAATTTTTTTTTCGTTTTTTGTCTTTTTCGTTGTTTGTCTTTTTCCAGTTTTAACATCGAAAATGATGATGATGAATAACGGTGAAAAATTTCATAATTTTAAACTTGGTTCAATCGTTCGAATTGAATTGGAAAATTTTATGTAAGTTTCATTTTGTCTATTGGTTTTTCAATTGAAATAATCTTTTTGTGATTTTTCTTGTTCGAAAAGGATCTACAAACATATTGAATTTTTTCCCGGACCATTTTTAAATCTTATATTGGGTCCAAATGGATCCGGTAAATCGGCATTAGTTTGTTCAATTATTATGGGTTTTGGTGGTGATCCACAAATTACCGGACGATCATCGAATTTGAGTGAGTTTTTCTGTTTTTGCAAAAAAAAAGATTTCCAAATTTAACCCTTTTTTTACAAAAGTTGATTATGTTCGAACGGGTGCAAATTTCGCTTCAATCATAATCGAAATCTACAATCCGGATCCAAGAGAAAAAAATCAACAAATACAACGTGAAATACGAATATCAAGATCTGGTCGGAAAACTGAATGTCATACTGTTTGGCGTTTGAATCGTAAAACAGTAAAAAAAGAAACGATTATGGAATTTACAAAACAAATGAATATTGATGTAAATAATCTTTGCCAGATTCTACCACAAGAAAGAGTTGTTGAATTTTCTCGATTAAATTCCAAAGATCTACTGTTTTCAACCGAAAAATCTATTGGAAATTTTAATATGTATGAAAAACATATGGAATTAATAGCATTAAGTCATTCGATTGTTGATCTTGAACAAAGAATTCGTCAATCAAAAGCATTCCTAGCGAAATATAAAAATTTTCAAACAAATATTGAACCAGATTTAAAACTGATACAGGATAAAAAACGTTTTGAAGAACAAATTGAATGGTTAAGAAAAAAACAAGTTTGGATTGAATTTGAAGAAAAACGTTTAATTTATGTTGCAGATAAACAAAGATTAAATGAAAAGAAAAAAGAATTTGATGAATTTCAATCACGTATTGAACCGATAAAAATTGATCGTGATAAAGCAATGAAAACATTTGAAAAAATTCAAATGGAAAAAGGAAAATATTCAAATGAAATGCAAAAATATTTATCAATATTAAATGATTCAAATGATGGTATTGAAAAATTACGTAGAAAACGACAAGAATTGGTTATACAATATAGACAAAAACTTTCTGAACATAAAAATGATAAAGATCGTCTGGCACAATTTGAACAAGATTATCGTAATTATACAAATGAATTGGAAGATCATCCAAATATGAATAATCTGGAAACAGATTCTACTGAAATTCATAAAAAACTTGAAGAATTTGATAAGAAAATTAAAGAAAATATTTTCACACTTAATTCACATCGTAATAGATATGAAAATTCTATTGGTGAACAACGTTTTCATTTGAATCGTAAAAAAGAAATTAATAATCTTTTCAATGCCCGGATGGAAAAACTGAATCGAAAAGATTCATCAATACAAACAGCATATGAATGGTTGATGAAAAATCGTAAAAATTTTCAAGGTGAAATTTTCCCACCGCTTATTACACAGATTAATGTTTTGGATAATAAATATGCAAATGCGGTTGAAATGGCTATCGGTTCGACGGATATGAGTACATTTTTGTTTGAAAATCTTTCGGATTTGGAATATTTTAATGAAAATTTGAAAAAAGACCGAGATATTCGTTGTAATGTTGCAATGATTCCATCGGAAGAAATTAGTGATAAACCAACATTCAATATTGAACAATATCGATCATTCGGTATTTTCGGTACGGTTCGGGATTTATTTACAGCACCGAAAAAAGTAATGTCATATTTGATAAAAAATTATCATTTAAATTCAATACCCGTTGGTGATTTGAGAACCGAGGATAAAATTCAAGATTTGATAAATCAATCAAATTTTCGTAAAATTATTACATCGAAAAGTCTGTATTCAATTGTAATATCATCATATGATGGTGAAAAATCTACACAGATTGTATCGATGATGCCAGCCAAATATTTAAATATTATTATCGATGAAAAAGAATTGGATGAAATTGATCAAACATTGAATTTATTGGAGAAACAAATCGCCGATTCGAATGAAATGATCCGGAAATATTCGGAAGAAAATGATTCATTGAAAGAAAATCGTAATAAATTATCCAATGAATTGAAAAATATTGAATCAACAAAAAATGCATTGAATAAACTTCGAGCGAAAATTCGTGAAAAAGAAAGACAAATAAATTCCTTGAAAAATTCATTACAAAATGAAAATAAATATAAAGAAGAATTAGTTAAAAATCTAGAACAATTACATCAAAAAGAATTAAATTTATTGGAAAATTTACCTGAAATCATACAGGAAGCAGTGGAAAAAAACAAGAATAATCTTTTAGCTACAACAAAATTTCGTATAATTTCACGTATTAAAGATGCTTTGGAAATAAAATATCGTAGTTCAAGTTCTGAATTGATGGATTTGGCCAACGCTGTTGATCGATTAAAATCCGAAATGAAAGAATCACAAAACCAGGCGAAAGAATTTCGTAAAAATGCAATTGAAAAATCTGGTTTTGATTATAGTAATTTGGATGAACAGATACGAAAACGTTTAGAAGAATTGCCGGATACAATTGATGAAATTTCCGATGCAATAACTGAATTAAAACTTCGTTGTGAAGGTATAAAAAATGTTGATCAATCATTGTTGGAAACATATCGTTCGTATCAAAAAGAAATTCAAACTAAAAGTGTTGAATTGGAAAAATTTGAACAAGAATTACAACAACATAAAGAAGAAATTGATCAACTAAAACCTGTTTGGCTGAATGAATTGAAAACATTGATTGCTAAAATTAATGAAAATTTTAGTAAATTTATGGATCATCTTAATTATTCGGGTGAAGTTTATCTATTTACCGGTGATAAAGAAGTATGTGCTTTTTTCTTCGTTTTTTTCAATGTTTAATCTTTTTTCTTATCCTGAACAGTATTCATTCGATGATTATGGCATTCGAATTAAAGTAAAATTTCGTGATGCTGAAATGATGAAAGATTTAGATGCATATCATCAAAGTGGTGGTGAACGTTCAGTATCAACAATGATTTATATGTTATCATTACAAGAATTAGCACACGTTCCATTTCGAGTGGTTGATGAAATTAATCAAGGTATGGATGAAAAAAATGAACGTTGTGTTTTTGATTTGATTGCCGAAGTATCCAAACGAAATTCATCACAATATTTTCTATTGTCACCAAAATTATTAACCAAACTTAAATATACTGACGAAATGAAAATTCATATCATTTTCAATGGTCCACATACATATGTTAATTTTAATAAATCGATTGAAAATTTATTGATGGTCGTCGATGGCGATGCCGATGAAAATGGTGATAATAATAATGATAATGGCCAAGATGAACAAATGATGGATGATGAATAAATTACAAAAATTGTAAAAAAAAATTATTTTTTTTTTCAAAAACTCAAATTTTTCGAATAAAATTGAATTCGAACGAAAAGACGTTTTGTTTTCCCGACAATAGATGGCGCCACTTGGCAATCGAATATATTTTTATCTTGACTCGAATTTTTTTTTCCTCTCTTTTCTCTCATCTCTGTTTTGTTTTTTTTTTAATATTTTTTTTTTGGATTAAATAAAAAAAAATTGCAAAAATTTCCATGACATTTTAATCCCCAACAAATAAATGATAATCCCATGATAATCCATTATCATTATCATCATTGCATGATGTATGATTAATCCGTAATCATATCTGATTCATTCGTTTGTTGTTTACACATTTACATCCAAAAGGACAATCATTTTTTTACCCCTTTTTTTTGAAAATTTTTTTTTTTGCTTATTTTGCATAATTGCTGCATCTTTTTTTTTTTTTTTTGCTTCATTCGATTATTTTGTTGTTTATTTGATTTTATTTGTTTGTTTATCGTTTTTTGTTGTTGTTGTTGTTGTTATTATCGTTTTGTTGTTGTTTTTTTGTCTTGTTTTGTTTTGTTTTGAGAAAAAAGTCCCCAAAATCAGTTCAAATCAAATCAATTATGAAGAATAATTTCAATCAACCCTTATAATTTTTTTTTTTTGAACGGTCATATATCTCCTTTTTACAAACATGAGCGGTGATAATCAAAATGATGATGATAATATGTTGATGATGAATGAATCATCAACAATATTGACATTAAATGATCGTTTCGAACGATTAAATAAATTGTTCGATACGTCAACAACAACAACAACTACATCATCATCATCAACATCGACAATCATTATTGATAATAAATGTTATAATTATGAATTTTTATTAGATTTATTGATTGCTGTTTATACTGATATTCAAAGGTTTGTTTTAGTTTCGAATGTTTGTCATTTCGAACGTTTTTTTTCATTTCGAACGTTTGTCATTTCGAATGTTTTTTCTCTTTCATTTTTTTTACCGCTATTTAGAAATGTCAAACCAACAACCAGAGATAAAAATTCAAGTTCACAAAAATTTACCAATCTGGTTAAACCATTAGTCGATTATATACGACAATTACAATTGAATTCGAATGATTTTGAACAGATAAAAATTATTGGTAAAGGTGCATTCGGACAAGTTTCATTAGTCAAGGTAATTGAATTTTGATTTTTCATTATCTAATCTTATCTTATTTTATCCTATATCTTAGTCAAAACATGATGAAAAAATGTATGCAATGAAAGTATTAAATAAAATGGAAATGATAAAAAGAGCTGAAAAAGCATGTTATAAAGAAGAACGTGATATTTTAGTAAATAATAATACAAATGATTGGTTTACAAAATTATATTATGCATTTCAAGATTCAGAAAATTTATATCTTATTATGGATTATTATATTGGAGGTTAGTATTTTTTTTGGATTTTTTTTTCTTTAGTTTTTTCTAATAATTCTGTATTTTCAGGTGATTTTCTCACATTACTTATGAAATATGATGATACATTACCTGAGGATATGTGTAGATTTTATGCTGCCGAAATTATATTAGCCATTTCTACATTACATGCTCTTGGTTATATTCATCGTGATATAAAACCGCCAAATATTTTGATTGATTCACATGGTCATATTCGTTTGGGTGATTTTGGTTCTTGTGTACGTGCATCAACCGTTCGTTCGGATTCATCGGCACCTGTTGGTACACCGGATTATGTTTCACCTGAAATTTTGGATGTTATTGAAGGAAAAATCCGAAATGATTGTCCATATTCATTCGAAACAGATTGGTGGTCACTTGGTATAGTGTTGTTTGAATTATTTTATGGTCAAACACCATTTTATGCTGAATCATTAGTAGAAACATATTTCAAAATTATGAATCATAAAACACATTTTATCGTAAGTTTTTGTTGTAAATATTTGTAATTTGAAATTAATTTTGTTATCTCACTATAGTTTCCAGTAAATGCTGAAGTTACTGATGAAGCAAAAGATTTAATATCAAATCTTGTAACGGATCGTTATTCAAGATATAAAAATTTAGAAAATTTTAAAGAACATCCATGGTTTACTGGTATTGAATGGGATAAAATTAGATATCAAACACCACCATATCATCCACAATTTTCCGGACCGGATGATACATCAAATTTTGATATTTCGGATATAAAACCATTGAATAGTCCAACAGCAGCAATGAAAATAAATAAAGATATTTATGTTGAATTATCGTTTGTCGGATTTACAGCAACATTACCGAAAAATGTTTCAAAATTAGAAGATTCTATTAATCATCACAAAATGTTGGACGAAGAAATCCATAAAGATATTGATGAACAGAAGATAAACGAAGATAATGATTATGATGATAAAAGCGATAAAACAGATGAACAAATTGGTTTAGAAAATCGTTTAAAAACAATTCAACAAGAATATAGTGAAATGTCACAATTATTGGCTGAAGTAAAAAAAGAAAAAAATTCTTTATCGAATAAATTACGAAATAAAGAAGGTGAACTTGATGAACATATTGAAAAGAATTCACAACTAAGACAACAATTAAGAAATTATGAAAAATTAAAACGACAACATTTAGAAGAAATTAGTAGTTTGCAAGCTGATTTGGAAACACAGAAAATTCTACGAAAACAAGGTTTGTTTTATTTTTAGTTTTTTGAGATTTGTCGATTTTTTTGGCTGTTCTTTTTTTCTCATCCTACGCATTTTGTTTTTTCATTCATTCATTCATCAAAATAGATCAAATAATTTTGAAAAATCATGAAGAAAAAATTGAAACATTAGAAGATCAACTACAACGTGATTCCGAATCAACACATTCATTTACAAATGAAAAACAATGTTATTTGAAAAAAATAACCGATTTAGAACAACAGATTCTTCTATTGGAAGAAGAAAATTGTTCAATAAAAGAATCAAATAATGATTTGAAAAAATCATATAAAGAATTATGTTGTGATTTGTTGAATTTGGATAATCAAAATCTTTTGTTTGAACATGAATTAAAATCAATGGTCGAATCAGTTGCTGAACGACAACGTTGTAATGATTCATTGGAAAAAATGTTGGATATGTTAGATTTTAATATACGAAAATATAAATTTTTACAAGAAAAAAATAATCGTATTATTAGTGATAATCATCATACTCATAATCAACAGATTGTTTTGGGCAACAATAAATCAATACCAGCAACAACAAATCAATCGACAACAAGTAGCTGGCAAGAACGTCGTTCAGCTCGAGTTGATAAACAAGAATTACTTACGCTGCAATTAGAATTGAAAAGTGAAATATTGGAAAAACAAAAACTACAATCCGAATTGTTAAGATTACAACAAGATTTTGATAATGTTAATCAACAATTATTGGATTCGAAAAATGAAATGAATAAATTGATTAAAAAACAGGTTAAATCGACAACGGATCATTATGGATTTAAGAACAGCAATAATAATCATTCAATAATCGGAAATAATAATGATAAAGAAGATGTTTCTTCTTCGTCAACAACAACAACAAATCGATCATTTCTTAAAGATTTTGTTATCGATATGAAAGCCATTTCTAATTCTATTAGTGGTACTATTAGTGGTGTTGGTGGTAGAAAACAACAAAATTTGATATCATCAACAACAACAACAACAATGATGGATTCAATGATAAATGAAAATTATGATTATCATAATAAATTTGGTCATTCATTTATAATCAGAACATTTATAACACCTATTAAATGTTATGTTTGTACATCGTTGATGATTGGTTTGGTTCGACAAGGTTATGTTTGTGAAGGTTTGTTTTTGTTTATTTTTTTGATGGAAATTTTTCTAATTTTTGGATTTTTATTATGATTCATTTAGTATGTGGATATGCTTGTCATGTTGATTGTGTAGATTCGGGATCATCATGTCCATTTGATGAAACAAAACAACGACCGGTTGGAATTGATCCACAAAAAGGTATCGGAACAGCATATGAAGGTTTTGTTAAAATTCCTAAACCACGTGGCGGTGTACGAAAAGGATGGATACGAATGTTTGTTGTTGTTTGTGATTTTAAATTATTTCTTTATGATATTATCAATACTGGTGATCAATCAAATCTTAGTTTAGCTTATTCAAATATGTCGAATAGTAATGATTCAAGCTATAATACATTGATTAATACACCATCAATATCGGCTAGTACAATTATCGATATGAGGTAAATAATGATTATCGGATGATAATTTATTTTGTTTTAAACTAATCAATTTCTTTATTTACGAATTTAGAGATGAACATTTTAGTGTTAGCGATGTAAATGAAAGTGATGTTATTCATGCATCAGCTAAAGATGTACCATGTATTTTTCGTATTACAACATCGATGATTGGTGATAATAGAGATGGTAAATTGAATTTGAATTTTCCGGCAAAAATTATGATTATTAATTTTTTTTCTTAACAACTTAGGACTGCAAAAATTTACTCAACTAATGTTGGTCGATAAAGAAAGTGAAAAAAATAAATGGATTGAAGCATTGACTGAATTACATCGTATTATTCGTCGAAATAAAATTTCACATCGAAATGTAATTATTTTGCTAAATTTGTTTTGATTTTGATAACTATTTTTTTCCATTATTACAGATTCTTCGTTGTTATCATTTATTAAATACATTACAGATAAATTCATTAAGACATATACATAATATACATTGTTGTACAATGTTAGATGAAACACGTTTATTAATTGGTTGCGAAGATTGTTTATTATGTTGTGATTTAGATATACATTCATATCATCGTTTAAATCAATCGAAAAAATTTATACAAATTTCCTATATACAATCAGAACAATTAATTATTGCTTTAAGTGGTAAACAAAAACAAATCAAATTGATTCCAATTCGTGCATTAGATAATGATGGTATTGATTGGATTAAGCTAAGTGAAACAAAAAATGCATCAGCATTTACAATTGCATTTGATAATTCAATTGCATATGTTTGTGTTGCCATACGGAAAACATTATCAATTTATGAAATTACACATAAAAAATCTCGTTACATTTTTCATCATGAAATTCAAATGCCAGTCAATATTCAAACATTAAATACATGTAGACAGAATTTAATTGGTGTTGGTACTAGTTCAAATTTTATTGTTTATCATGTTAATCGTACGGAACAGCCATTATATTTGGTTAATCAAGATTCACCGGATCTAATTTATTTAATACAAAATTCAATTGATCCATTTCTTTGTGAACCGATTGGTGATAATGAATGGTTATTGGTGTTTGCACGTAAGTTTTTCCTTGATTGATAATTAATTTTTCAAATTAATTTTTTTTCTTCTCCCCTTTTTTTTCAAAGATTATGGTGTTTATGTTGATGATCATGGAAAACGAACTAGATGTTTAGAGTTACAATATCCATCACAACCAATTGCTGCTTCGATTTTAAGATCGGATTCAAAACAAACTTCTTACCTATTGATATTTGCATTGACACATATCGATGTTTTCGATATCAATGAAATACGATGGATACAGACAATCAATATTAAAGCTACAAGACCATTACAAACATTTGCTAATAAGTAAATATTTGAAAACAAAAATAATGATTACATTAAACATAATCTAATCTTTTTCTCGTTTCTTTTCATAGTATTTTATTCTGTAAAACTAATGCATTAGATTTACCAAATCTAATTCAAATAACCATAAAAGATGACAATCTAATACGTGTATCGGGTGATAATATTAAAGCATTTACATTGACCAATCTTAATCAAAAAAGTATTCAAAGCCAAAATCAAGATTTTAAAAAGGTATAAAAATGCAAATTTTCATCATAAATCCAATTCAATTTCTTTTTTTAAAATTTCAATTTGAATTTTAGAATATGAAAATCAAGATTAGTGCACCGACTGATTTTAGTCACATATCACATTTGGGTCCTGGATCTGGTCCATTTTCGGCCAATCTTATTGATTGTAAGTTTCAATTTTATTCATCGAATCTGAATCTGAAACTTTTTTTTTGTCTTTTCATTGGTAGTAAACGATATTAAAGAGAAAAAATTTTTGGATCATCAATCAACAAAAGATTCATTATCCAAAAGTCATACATCATTACAACAATATAAATGATGAATCAATCAACTTCTACTTATTTATTATTATTATTTATACTCTTCTCTTCTATACTTATTTGCTTATATTTTGTTTGTTTTTTTCTCTTCGTTCAATCTTATTTTGGAACAATTTTTTTTTTGAAAGACTGGATTATTTTCATTTTATATATGGATTTTATTTACCTCTTTTTGTTTGCTTGTTTGTTTGTTTTTTGATGGTGGTAATCAGTACTAATTTATTTTATTTGAAGATGAATAATATAGCCCAATCTAGTCAATCATATCCTATCTTATAATAATTACAAATAAAAATAAAAAATGTTTTAAACTTTGTCGGAAAATTTTTTTTTTATTTCGAACATGTTTAATAAAAACTTTTTTTTTTGTTCAAGCTCACATATGAACTTTCTGGGAATATTTCCCCCCAAAACAAAATTTTTTTTGTTCGGAATTCTAAACCCGGATAAAAATTTTCATCCGAAAAAATGTGGCAAAATCGTGTGTTGAATTTTTTCAAAGCCAGCACTCAAATGGGTATTCATAATCAAGTTTTAAGAAATGTAAGCAACCAAAAAAACTGATAATGTTTTTGTTTTGAAATTATTGAATAATTCCAGGTACAAATTGTTGAACTGACTAAAGGTCGAATTGTAGCCGATATGAAAGTAACAAAAGAATGTTGTAATCCAGTTAATTATCTACATGGTGGTATGAGTACAACAATGTTTGATGTTCTTTCATCAATGGCATTACGTTCACATTTTGAAGCCGACAATATTGAACCACCAATAACTGTTAGTGTTGAATTATCATTATCATTTTTAGCTGGTGTACCTGAAGGTAAAACTATTCGTTTGGAAACAGAAACATTAAGAGTTGGTAATAAAATTGCATTTTTAATTGGTAAAATTTATGAAAAAGATTCAAACAAATTGGTTGTTACCGGGAAACATACCAAATTTTTAATGTAGAAATTTTTATTTTTATTAATTGAAATATATTTTTGTCTATAAAATTCTCGTATTTATCACATCATACATAAAATGTTACCATTTTGTTAGATCAATTTTTGGTAATTGATCACATTCAATCCATGATTGATTGTCATTTGGAAGATGAAATGATTTTTTTATTATTGTTTTAATATTATCACTATTTTGACAAATTATAGCCGATAATGTTGTTGTTGTTTCCAATTGTTTTAATTGTTCATCAGTGAATACATTTTTATTCTGAAAATTATAATTTTTTAAATAAAAATTAGATTTTAATAAAATTCAAAAAATTATAATGCTTACCAGGTAAAAAAACCGATCACCATCGCGTAATCGTCGAAATTGATCGACCAACAAACAACGAAATGTTGGACCAATTTTTGCATCCGAATCACTGTTTTCCATCAAACCGGCAACATAAAGATCAACGTTATCCGGATGGCCATATAATTTTTGTAATTTTTTACGAATTTCAGGATTTTTTATTTCATATTTTAAATCATCAAAATTGGCTGCCATTTTTAGGCCACAAAATTTTCTCCATTGATTATAATCCGGTAATGCATGATCACGGCCACGTTGTATATTAATAGATGCTAAATCCAGAGGTTGATACCGGGATAATCGAAATAAATGTTCAGTCAATTCATCACTGATTGCTTGTTCGGGTATTGATTTTTTCAATGGTGTTCGTGCTAAACCCAATAGCAGTAAATCGAAAACCTCGGCTTTCGATAGCTGATCTGGTCGAAAGAATGCTTGATGCATTTTTGTTCCATCATCTTTCGAATGTTTTCGCTCATGTCGAAGATTGGCAAATTTTCGAATCAAATTTTTATTCACTAAAGTATGACCAAATCTCATTGCAGCCGTTGCAAAAACATTCGATATTGATGGATTTATCGTCTCATCGTAACCATTATATGCGCCCAACATTTTCATTCCTTTCGAACCAATAATCAATGGCAGCCAATCACGATAAACAATTATTTGCAATTGTGCTGAAATAATTTTTCTTGTTTCATAAAATATTTTATCATTCGTCCAATTGGGTCGTAATAATCGAAATTTTCTTGCTAATAAATTATGATTACGTAACCATAAATTATGAAATATCAGTAATCCTAATTGTTCATTAGCACGATGATCACCAGCCAGAAAACATTCTTGATCCGAACGTTCTGGTTCCATTTGACAATCCATTGATAATAATAATTGATAATTATCATTTTTGGGTAAATATGTTTGATTTGAAATTATTGTTGAATTTAATAAATAAGAATTTTCCTGATTAGGATGTCGAAGATAATTGAATAGTTCGAAATTATTACCATAAATTTGTGATCCATCAATAAACGACGTTATCAGATTAACTTGTTCACGACGAATAAGTTGGCCGAATACTACGGATGTATATCCAGTTCCACAATATTCTGCTGAACGTTTTAATTCAATACATTTATCATAATCATTGATTGTTGATTTGGAAGAATCAGGTCGAAAAATCGAATAACATGGTTCAACATTCTCATGACAGGTTCGTTCACAATCAACCAAATCATTTTCTAATAAATTTCGATTATCCGATAATGCAGCAAATGTTAAATCATGATCAAGAAATTGTCCAAATTGCATCAACAAATGATTATGTAATTCATCATTGGTAACAGCTTCGGTGCTCAATAATTCTTTGGTTACTTTTCGTGGATTTGGTCGTTTTGTTTTCGTTATCATCCACCAATCATCTTCATTATCAAACCAACCTATTGGCTTCACTAATCCATCGGCATAATTTGCCGGTAATAATCTCAGAAATGGTTCGACTGATGCACCCCATTTTGGATTTTTTCGATTATTACATATTCCGGTTATAGAATAATATTCACTAAATTCATCGCTGTTATCATCAAAACAATCGAATGTTTCAAATCTAGCACCACCCACACAACCGGTAAAATTTCCCATAACCGTTGCTTGTGTTGCTGTTAATGAATGATTTGATTCGTACAGGTTAAGGGCATCAAATTGTGTTCGGTTATCCGAATAGGCAATTAACAGACGGGTTAAATCAAAAAATTTTAAAACATCCGTTGTATTCAATGTTATTAAATTGCCTAATTCAATTCGTTTTGAATATTTGCTTGCTTCAATGATCTGTTGCAATAAATTACGATGTTGATTTAGATTTGATTCCGATGATATACAACCAACAATGATAATACGAATTTCTTTCGATGCTTTACCATTTCGATTACGTGCTTGACATTCATAATAACCATCATCATCTGGTTGAATTTTTTCAATAATTATTGTTGAATTAAATGAAAATGTTCGTCCAAAACGAATCCATTTCAATGTTGGTTTAGGATTTCCATCAGCTTCGCATGATAATTCCAATTTACTACCAAGTTTAATTCGATAAATCGATTTGGGTACTTTGGTCAAAATAGGTGTACCTTTTTTTCATTTGAAAAAAACAAGGAAAAAAACTTTCATTTTAAATTCAATTTTAAAAATCTAGATTTTTTTTCAAAAATACTTCCATTAGTTATAATTTCCAAAAGATTCGTTCGGTTTTGTTGGTGTTCATAAACAATTCTTTCTTTTTTCTCCGATGATTTGTGTTTGTTGTTGATTTTATCAGGTAAATGAATTGTCGAAACTTTTGTGCTCGAAACATTCGAATGTTGAACTGGTTTCACGTTCGAATTTTCAATATTCAATGTTTGATTCAATTTCAAACAAAAATTTAACGATTTTTTGTTAATTTTTGAATTACAAATTTTTTCCAAATCATTTTTCTGTGAAAAAATTGACAAATATTTAAGATTTATTAGTTCTTTAAAGATGTTCCAGTCGAAACCATCATCTTGAGGATCAAGCGAATTCGAATAAAGATATAGTTCATCCAATTCATGTAAATTTCGAAAACCATAATGTTCAATAATTTTTATCCGGTTATTATTTAGATATAATTTTTTCAAACTACCAAGACCAGCAAAAACACGATCCGGTATTGTTTGAATTTGATTATTTGATAAATCACTTTAGGAGAAAAGAGAAAGAGATTCGATTAATCGATTAATTCGCTCATTCAAATCTTAAAGAATTTACAGAACATTCAACAATGGAAGATGATCAAAATGTTTTTGTTTCAATTCCCGGATTAGATTATGGCTTAGATTTCTGTTTTTTGAAAAGACAATTTTTTCGATTTATCCAAATTTTATTTACGAAAAAAGCTTACAAATATTGAATGAATGGTGTAACCATTAAAACTTCGTCAAGATTATTTCCCGTACAAATTATTGTCGTTGTCGTACATTCTTGACAATTTCTATTATCATCATTGTTGCATTCGAATCCAAACACCGGATTCAACAACAACAATGGAAAAATCAAAATGTTGAATCCATTCATTTTGTTTTTCACCCAAAAACAAACACAAAGCAAACATGTTGTTTTTGCTGTGAAGAGAAACTTTTTCTTATCAAAAAAAAGATAAAAAAAATTTTCTGCTCGGTTTTTTTTATCAAAAAGTAATTTATTTAATTTGTAAAAAATAATAATAATAATAATAGAGAAAAAAAATTATAATAATCACAAAAATAGCAGTAAAATGTTCAAAATTTTTCGTTCGGTTCAACAAGGATCATTTTCAATCATATAATAAAGATTATTTAACCATTTTTCATTTTGAATTTTTTCATAAATAATTGTTTGACCATCGATTAATCGAATTCCATTATGAAAATTATTATCATCATCATTACCATCATTATTTGATTTACGAATAAAAATCAAAGTTTGATCATTAATATGATAAAGATCACAAATTTGTTCTAGATAAAATTGCCATATTTTTCCAACAATATTTCCATCAATTTTCAATTTTTCTGTTCTTGATTGAAGAATATCTGTTGTTATTCGATCAAATCGGGAGAAAAAAATGATTAGTTTTCAATCAAAAAAAACAAAGAAATTGATTAAAACATTTACCTGTATGAAAAATATTCAATATTTCCAAAGTGATAAGATATTTTTTTTGTTCAAATTTAAATTCTTTTCGTATAATTTTTCCTTCAATAATGAATGAAAATTCTTTACAAATTATACGTTTAAATTCATTGAATGCATTATCAATATTTTTATCGGTTAAATCCTTCAGGCCAGAATCTAATTTACTTGGGCAAATTTTTTCCGTTTGACATTGACAAATTTCATTACAATTATGAATTTTAGATTCATTATGTGTATCATTATATAATCGTGAACACATTGAACCTGGACGATAATAATCATAAATATTAATCAATGCTGATTGTGATTCGGTAACAACATTTTCCTGATAAATACGAAAACTCAGACAATCATGTTTAGCATATGGTACATCTTTTAAATAGAATTCAATTTTCGATACAACAACATTACTTTCCAATATTTTTCCATTTGATTTTAATTGTTCCAAATCTGAAGCGATAACTTTATAACCACTAAGTAGACCAACTTCCAATATTATCATACCCATTTCATCATCATTTAAACGTCTATAACGAATTTTTATCAAACGAATCACTGGATTTTCAATACCTAAATTTGGTACAGTATCAAAACTGTCTGATGGACATGTATTGGATGATTTTTTTTCTTTTTTCATTTTATTTATTTGATTTTGTTGTTTTTTCGTCGTCGTCGTATTATTTTTCGGTCGTAATCGATTCATCATCTGTGTCCAAACGGATCTTTTTTTAATTCCATTATTCGAATTCGAATCATTATCGGCATATTCACAAATATCGTAATCATCATTATTATTCGAATTAAAAGATTCGATTGACATTTCTTCCATTAATTTATTTGTATCATTATTGAAAATTAATTTATAATCATCATAATCATAATAATCACCATCATTATCATTATAATTATCTTGCCATTCGGACAATACAATTGATAATTCAAATTGACATTTATTATCTTCAGGATTCAATACATTATATGTTGTTAATAATTCAATTTTTCCTAAACCATTACCCAACGTAACAATATCAACATTATTAATATTATTATCAACATCAATAATATGTAAAAGATCATGATTTGATTCAGTAAATTCAATTGAACGTTTTGGTCGATAATTAAATGATATATTTGATTTAAGTTGAAATTTTTGATTATTTAAATCAACAATTGTTGAATAATAATTGGTTAATGCTTCCAATGCAACAATAGTATTTTGGGTATTATCAAATGTACCATCTTTTTGTTGTAATGTTAAATAATTTGCTAATGAATCTGTCATTGAATTTTTAGGTAAATATTTGGCTAACGATAACAAAACATATGATGTTGTCTCGATTGGATAATCATTATTATAATAATAATAATTTGATATCGTATCTTGTTGTTTATCCGGATGATTCATCAAATTCATTATCAATGAATTTTCATCAATATTTGTTGATGTTGATGATCGTAATATAAATGAATACGTTATTATCGATAATGAATATGAATTATTATGAACAAAACGTATTTTTCTTTGTAAATATTTTTGTGCTAATGTTATATTTTTATCTAGTTGTTTGATGAAATCATTAGCATCCGAAACATCATTTTCGATCAAATATTTTTGACATTCATTCAATGCAATAACAATATAAGCGGTTAATGTATGTGAACCTTGATTTACACCACCCAATGCTTTTTCATGAAGAATCGGAAATGTTTCAGCCCATGATCCATCGGATAGTTGTTTTTGTAACAGCCAACGTAATGCTTGAACAATAACATCATTATCCATATAATCACGAAGTAATGTTCCGGATTGGCAAAAAACTTTCGTTACAAATGCCGTTAGCCAAACTGATGATTCACGTTCAACAAAAGCACTGAATGAACCATCTTCTTTACGAAAATTTAGCTGTTGTTTTAATGCACGTTTCAAATATATTTTTGCACGTATTTCTAAACGTTCTTGTAATTTTCCAATTTGTTTCAAATATTTCATCGTATACAGATTGAATGCCATATAATACATATTTTGTTCACCACAACCTTTTGGTTTCTTTATCAGATAATCTAATTCTTCTATTGATTTTATTGATGGATTAAATTTCGATCCAATCAATGACAATTTATGTGACATTGTTCCAGGAACAATTTCATTATTACTTGCACTTTGTTGTTGTTGTTGTCGTTGTTGATAAATATTTTTCTGAAATAAAATATCAATTTTTTGTAGATGTTTTTCTGGATAGACTTTACTTGTAATTTGATTAGTTGGTTTTTCCTGTACAATTGTTGTTGTTTCACGACGGGCACGATTACCCGGATCCAAATCTAATGCGGTAATTTCTTCCACAATTTTTCCCGGATATAAAATGGTTATATTTTTTTCAATAATATCGGACATATATTTTCCATTCACATATGTCATTGCTTTCAGCCGGATTGTAAATGTACCAACTTTGATCGGAACAATCGGGAATACTTTTGCACTTGATGATCTTGCATCGATATTTAAATTGATTTCAAATCGTTCCAATTTTTTCGATGCTTCCGAACAAATTTCATCATTTTTATATAAAAATATACGAAATATTAAATTTTCATCCAAATAATTGAAAATTGTTGCACGAATTTCAGTATGTTCATTTAGAATTAAATATTCAGGCATTGAAACATGAATGAAAAATGGTTTATAAATTGTTATACGTTTATCTTCAAGGAAACATAATCCATCCGCCGCAGATATAGACATACTTGATATTATCCATGATGTTATGGAATGTGGTGCCGGTTTTTCATGTGTATCCGAACTTCCATTCAAAAGAATTAAATCAAATAGCCAACTATCACGAAAATCATAACGTGTATTTTGTTGATCAATTTCTTGTTCTGAAGGTTCCGAAGATGATGAACTTGATGGATGATTAAATTCATAATTTGGTTTTGATTTTGATATTCCAGGTCGATTTACTAATTTTGGTTATAAAAAATAGCGAGTTTTTAGTTAAACAAAAAAAGATTCGATTTTCTTACCTGAAGAAGTTTGTAGACCATCTTCCGATTTACAATTACAACATTCCAGAAAATATTCATAACATTGTGGATGATTTAATGAATATTTCCTTATAATTTCACTTAATTCTTGACATGATTTTGGTGATGATAATGATAATGCCATTCGACAACATAAATGTTGATGTAAAAGACAAGGTTGATGTTTGTTGTTGTTGTTGTTATTGTTGTTTCGTCGTCGTATTGATCGTTTATTTCGCAATGATGATTTTTTATGATTCAAATTTATTGGTTGTAACAATTTAAATCCAGCACCATCTAAAATATGTTGTGAACTTTTTCCACCACCCGGACCATTACCAATATCATATGTTTGCATTTGTTGTTGAAATTTTGCACGAAAACTTTTATTACGTAAAATATAAATCGATTCATCAACAGCATTCATTGCAACAATATCATTTTGTTGTCCATAAAATCTAAATCGTATCATCGATCCTGGTTTAAAAACATTCGAATCTTCATCATTTTGGTTTTTCGAATCCAAATTTTCCAATTCTATTTTAACACCACAATCTTTTTGTTCAACATGGATTAAAATAGAATCGGAAATTAATTCTTGAGTATTTCGGTTTAAACCAAAAACCAAAATTCGAACACTTGGTGCCATTTGATTCGAAATATTTAAAACAATTTGTTTTGATTCAAATGATAATGGTTCTCGATGAAAAACATAACCTTTTGATGTGGCTAACCAATATAAACTTTTCGGTTCGATTTGTTCCAAATCGTAATCAATTTTACTTTGATATTGATCACCAGCATGATAAAATAATTGTTTTTTATTTACAATAAAAATTCCCACATTTTCATTACGATCAAATGGTTGTAGTGAAAAATCAATAAAAGCTTGTTCAGCTTTTGCAAATCGGGTATCATTTGTCGTTACAATAACTTTCAGTCGTCCGATTAATTCTTTCAAACGAAATGTTACAATTACGATTCCATTTTTATCAGTTTTTAACGATTCTGTTTCACCAACATTATCATTTGAAATTGGAGTCGTTTTAATCTCAAAACCATTTTGGCTATTAATCTTGATATTTAACGGTACATTTGGAACTGGCTGATGTTTGAAATTTTTTACTTGAATCACAACGAAATTGGTAAAATTCTTTCGATAATAAGGTATTGTATGACTATTTGATAAAATATATGGTCGTGATGTTAGAATGAAATTTTCACTATTTGCCTGTTGTTTTGTATTTGTAGATTTATCCATTACAGTTGTACGAATATAAAATGTTTTTGGTAAATCATAACGATTTTTACATGGAAATATTGAATTATCAATCGAATAATTTATTGAACCATTTTTCAAACATAAATTTTTCGAATGAAATTTTTTCATCTGTTGATATGGTGGTTTGATCATAATGATTTCAAAATAAAGAAAACCTTTTACCGGTTTTCCATACGTATATGTTGCATTGATTTGTATTTGAAATCGTTTCGATGAACAATAATGTATGGATGGTGTTAAAACATCAATCCGAATGATTGGTAGTTGATAATTTTTCACTTCGAAATTTAAACGATCCATTCCCTGTCGGTAAGATTTGTAAAAAAAATTTTTTTTTGTAAAAATTTTGTAAAATTTCATTTTTAAAACATTACATTTTTACAGGATAATTCCGCTTCCCAGATACCTTCTTTAGTTATTTTTGGTAATTGAAATTCATATTCAGTAAAATAATATGGTGGTATCAATGATAACTGAGTGAAATCTAATTTAATTTTTTGTTGATTTTTTATTGTTAAATTACATTGATCATTTTTAACCATTAAACCACGATTAGTTTCCAGTACTCGAAATCGAACCAATTCATTTGAACGATAAATTGGTTTATTTGTTTGAAAATAAATTATACTATCATTGATCAAAGGGAAATCTCCACTTAAAACATAATGATTTTCGGATGGAAATTCAATTTTCATATAAATTTTCCTTAACACTTTATTATCATCATGGGATTGTTGTTGGTAATTTTTTAATAAAAGTTCTTGCTCTGGTAATTCAATTTCAGCACGGCTTATCGTATGATTATCATTAGCTGAAAAATCAATCGGAAAAGAAAATTTCAATCAAAATGTGCATGTGAAGTTTGAAAACAAACTTACTTTGTAAAAATCGAAATTCATTTTCAAAAAATTTTTTCAAAAATTTTTTTTGAAATGAAAATGATATACTGGCATTCAAACATTTATCGGATGGAAAACAAAAAATTTCATTCGATTTTGTACCTAAATAAAATTGTCTTGGTGCTAATATCGATTGACAATCGGCAATATTGGCAATCAAAATGACCAGATAGTTGATGGCGATGATGATGATGATGGTGGTGGAAAAAATTATTGAAAAATTCATTGTGATCAATGATGAGGATGATGATTAATTCGAACGAAACAAGCGAAACTTCATTGGTCAATCATAAACGAATGAATTTTGCGTTTTTTAAAAAATCAAGGTTACAGAGAAAAAAAATGACCAACAACGAAAATTTTGACGCAAAAAAAAAAAATGAAAAAATTTGTTTGTTTTTGGCGGATGTTGGCACAATGTTTCTGAAGCAAAAAAAACTTTTACTGTTTTGGTTGCTTCATGTGCGTCTTAGACTTTTTTTCGACGATGGATGAATGGATGGTTGGATGAAAAATCCTAATCATAATACCAATGATGATAATGGCTCTCTGTGTGTATGTAATCATCGGTTTGTTTCTGGTTTTGGTTTGTTAGTTGTTTTGGTTTGATTGTTATCATTACATGAAAGAAATATATTCAAAACAAAGACACATCAAACAATTATTACAGAAACTAATTATCATTTTTCAAACAAAAACACAAACACACAAACATTATTACACAGACAGAAAACACACAACAGTGATTGATATGATATGATTATGGCTGATATGAGATATTTTTTGTTCGTTTGTCGTTGATGATTCGTTTGTTTGTCACACACATTATATCATCATCATCGTCATCCTGATAATGAAATGTATACACAAAAACAGTGACGGTGTTTTTTCGTTTTTTTTTTTGTTTTGTTTTGTTTCTGATCAAAACAAAGCAAAAAAAAATTGATTCATTTCAAATCCATGTTTTTGTTTTGCAAATCTTTTTTACTTGTTGAATTGAATGAATTGGAAAAAAAAACTTTCAAGGCTATATTTATATAAATCATTTCCTTTGTAGTTTTAGTGTTTCCATAGAAAGTTTTTTTTTCTCGACGAGAAAAAACCAACAAAAAAAAACTAAAAATTACACCACACACAAGCTTGAAATATTGTTTTTTCCACCGAAAAAAGAAAAGAAAAAATCTCCCAGGTTCAACAAACAAAATGAAAAACTAATCACCTTGAACCTGTTTTCTACTTTCAATTTTTAGCTTAGAAAGATAGAAAGATTAGCTTGTTTGTTTTTTTTCAGTGAAAGTTTGAAAAAAAATTACACCACCACCACACTTCAGTGTTAAAAATTGTTGGTTTTTTATTCAAAATTTTTTTTTAAATTCTGGGTTTTTTTTACAAAAAGCAAATCTCTGTTCATTTATCATCAATATTCAAACCTGAATATAATTTAACCATTTTCATTGATCTACCAAAAAAATCTAATGATTTTTTTCTTTTCATTTCTAATTTTGTTGAAAATATATTCAATAAATTTTCTTCGCTTTGTTTGATTTTTGAATAATCAATCGATTTTACCATATTATTATTACTGCCATTCATTTTGATTGATTGATTATTTTCAGGAATCAAAGGGTTATTATCATCTTGAGATTGGTACATTATCATTCCATTATTATCATTATTCAATGGTTTTATATCTAAAAAACATTGTAAAATTGTTTTATGTTGTATGGATAATTGATTTGAACGTATAATTTGTTCCAATTCCGACCAATAAATACGATATAAATCTTCTTTTTTCAATCCTTTACAACGAATAATATTACTTTGTATCGGCAATGCTACATTAGTTTTTTCATCATGTAAATGTCTATACATAATATCACGTAATTGTATCAGATCTTTTTCACAAAGTTCTTGTTTTGTTATTAATGAATAAAATTGATCACGAATGGCAAAAAATACTGTCAATCCGATTGATATTGGCCAATATTTTGTTTGTTTTCGTAGAATTTGATATGCTTGTTCCAGGTTATCTTCATCAACGTTATTCACTTCATTTGCAAATTTCAATTGAAGATGATTTTTTTTCATTAATTCAGCAAAATCATTTAAACGATAATCAGTGATACGACCACCAACACCTTCGCTAATTGATGGTGCATCTTCAATCAATGGCTTGTGGTTGTTACTGTTGTTATTAGCAGCTAAAACATGAATAAATAATTCACCATTATGACAACGAAGCATATGTGTAACTGAACGATTTGGTGGCATTTCTAAATAAACAGTTTTACCCGATAACAAAAATGTAATTAAACATGATGATGGACGACTACTAACATCGATTGCTGTTAAACGATATGCTCCAATACAATTTGAATATTCAAATGTTTTCGGTGATGTACCCCATTTCAATCGTAATGTTTGATATTTTTGTTTATCACGTTCAACATATTGATATTTTGATGATAATGAGGATGAATTATCTTCATTTTCATTATTGTCACAGTCAATAATTTGATAATTAAAAAATTGACTATGTGCTTGACGAGAATGAATTATTTCAACATCATAATTGGCTGATGATCCAGAATTTTGTTCTTCTTTCATCGGTATATTACATACGGTTGTTGAAGCAAGGTTGAAATGTTCAAATGCCATACAGGTTAATCTTGCTGCCAAAATTGTTGACGATGCAACCAAATAGAATGAAAATTTTAATAAATCCGTAAGATTTCCATCACGTATATCATCTTTATGAATCAATAGATTTTCCATTTCCAATGGAAAAGTATTGATAACAATCACATCCAATCCGAATCGATTGGTAGTTTTTCGTTGAAAATCCAAGAATTGTTTGGAAATTTCTTTTTGAAAATTTTTAAAAAAATTCTGATCTTCATTATCGAATGTTAGGAAAATTATTCTTCCTGCATTGATTTTTGATTGACATTTTGAACTTGATGATGATTCTGTTGATGCCAAACGTTGTAATGCTTGTCGAAAACCATCCAACAAATATTTCAATTTATTTTGTTTCGATGAAATTTTTCCATCAAATGAATTTTTAGTAAATTCAATAAATGAATTAAAAATATATTCACAATTTTGTTCACATTCATTATTCAATTGATAAATTGATTTTGGTGATGTGGCAATAAAAAACAATAGTTTTTCTCGGTTAGGAAATAAATCCCAAACAATACGACTATATTCAAATATTGCTTCAACTGAACATGTATACAATGATTTGGATATAATTGTTGATGATAATGTTGAACGAAATCTTGATCCACCAATATCATGTTTTTGTCCGGAATCAACGCTAGAATATTCTTGTGAACAATCCAAAATGAAAATTGTTTTCGATGAATATTCTTGTTGTTCGTCGTTGTTGTCCATCATTCGAATCAAAGAATTTTTTGATAAAATCAAGAATTTTGGGTTCGATTTTGTTCCACACCGAAAAATCGGCTATTTCAACATGTTTAGCTCATGCAGGTCAACATATCATCAATAAACGTTCGAATGTTTTGTTTTGTTTATCATTTTTTTTTTTTTTGTAAAATCAAATTTTTTTCAATTTTGTTTGTTGTTGATTTCATGAATGGATAAAACATTTNCACACCGAAAAATCGGCTATTTCAACATGTTTAGCTCATGCAGGTCAACATATCATCAAAAAACGTTCGAATGTTTTTTTTTTTTTTTCATTTTTTTTTTTTTTTGTAAAATCAAATTTTTATCAATTTTGTTTGTTGTTGATTTCATGAATGGATAATACATTTAATATTGATTTGACCGTGAATCAGAAAGAAACATCATTATTAATCTCATCAGATGGATATAAACGCTCTTCCTGATATTTGTTTCTATCGGATACTTGAATATCTGACAATTGATGATCGTAAAAAAATTTCGAAAATTTTCCACAAACATTATCAATTGATTCGTTTGTTCAATAATGATCGTTTGAAACAAATAAAATCGATTGGTATTTATAATATTGATGTTCAAGAAAAATTAAAATCATCTTATCCGGGGATATTATCTCGGATTAAAAATCAAAATAATGAATTATTAGAACGTTGGTATTGTAATAATCCTGAACATATACCTCAAGAATTTTTCTCTACCAATTTAGTTCTCCATAAACAGGTAGGATTTTTATTCAAAAAAAATTTTCCAATAAAAATGAAAATTTTGTTTAATTATTAAAACCCAGTGTCCAGATTGTCAAGAATCATTGTTGAAATGTATTTTGAAAAAATGTTCATCACTTGAATCATTGGATCTGAGAGGATTTGAATTGACAGCCGATATTGCCTACTGTATTTGTAAACATTGTCCAAATTTACATTGTCTAAAATTGGAATTTATATCATTCAAATCATCATTAGATGTGGATAAATTTTTATGCTGTTTAGGCAATCAAATTCGTCATCTTTCTATTGATAATTTATTTATCAATAGTAATTTTTTTCATTATTTATTTCATCATTCATCATCGATACTAAATCAATTACATATGACCATATATCTTCGACATAATAATGATCTGGATTCATTACCGAATGCATTCGATCAATTGAATGGAAATTTAGAATTTTTATCATTAAATTTTTTTCGAATTCCACATAAGAAAACTCTGAAATTACCTCATAATTTTTTAGATAATTTGGCAAAAACTTCTTTGGTACGAAATCTTCGTTTTCTCAAGGTATGTTGAAAGTGAAAAATGAAATTGTTTATAATCATGTTTTTCATTTCCAGATAAAATCTAGTTACCATTATCGTGATAATTATGAAATATTTGAATCAGCGAAAAAATTTGAAAATTTAATAGCACTGAATTTTAATTTTATGATCTATCATAATATGCTATTGAAATATAATATGGAAAATTCATGGTTAAAATTGAAAAGTTTAACATTGGATTTCTATCTGCTCAAAGGTTCGAATAATCTTCTGATTCAATTTCTAAATGGTGGTTATCATCAAAATCTATCGAGATTACGTTTATTAGATCTGAAATTTCGTCCAAGTTTTGCTCGACATTTAAATGGTAAACAATTACCAAATTTAAATCATTTGGAACTTATTAATGTTGTTTTAGAGGTATTTATCACTATTTTTGTAATTGTTTTTTTGTTTTAATCAAAATTTAATATTACCATTAGGCTCCAAGCTTGATCTCATTATTTTCATCGTTGTTGTCCATGTGCAAATTACAATCATTACGAATTGAATTTATATTGAAAGAATTGATTGTCAAAAACATTGATCAACTACAATATCAAAATGATTCCGAATCATTATATCAATTTCCTGAGGAACAGGTGAATTTGTTGGAAAAATTCATCCAACAACATTCCAGCATCGAATCAATATTTTTAATCGATTGGCCTGGTTTAAAGTTGAATCATCTCATCCATTTAAATCAAATTGCCCAAGAAAATATGATAAATTTCATCTATAAATGTTATAATAATTGAAAATATTTTTAAAAACTAAATCAATGTTTTTTTAAAAAATGTCTATTACCACATATGTTAATCCATTGCTGTTTATTTTGAATAAATATTTTTTTTGATATATGAAAATCGAATCAAATCGAAATTGAATATGATGCACGAGTTAAATAAACAACAACAACAACAACATTATTTTAGAATTCATCAACATTGAATTTATTTATTTCAATTCACAAAAAAATAATGTTTGGAACTGGAATGGTAATGGTGTTTGATACAGAAATTTTGTATATAGTTGGTGTTTCAACAATCGGTGTTGTTTCATTGGCATATGTTTTGTTTGGTTTTTCAACTGATTCATCGAAAAAAAGTAAAATAAAACGCGTGTGTAAATTTGAATTTAAAATTTTTTATAATTTTCAATTGTAGAATTATATATTCGTGGTTTGAAAAATGTTAAAAATAATTGTTTTATTAATTCAATATTACAATCATTGGCCAGTAGTGATTCAATGGTACAATGGTTAAATCAAACAGCTACAACACGAATAAATAATAATAATAATAATAATAAAGATAATTTTAATCTTATTCGTCAATTATCATTCATCTGCGATAGTAAGTAATGTCTTTTTTTTAATTTACTTTGATTCTAACATTTTTATCATTTTTTCCAATAGAAATCAATAATAAAATTGACTGCGATCGTTCGGAAATACTTTCACCTGAAGGTGTACTGGATTCACTGCGAAAACATCGTTGGATGTTTTCGGCCGATGAACAGGATGCATTCGAATTATTTAGCGTTTTGCTTACAACACTTGATTTTGAATCTAATCAATTATCATTAGCATTATCGATTCGTGATAGTGTACAATCATCAAATAATCATCATTGTGATCATCAAAACAATACTCTAATGGATGAATTTAATAATAAAAGTAAACTTATTACACGTATCAATAATCCAATGATAGAATCGATGGATAAAATTCTACGTAATTCAAAAAATTCATTACCCACTCGTGGTATACTGTCAAATCATTTAAAATGTCAAAATTGTCGACGAAATTATCCAATACATTTGGAAATTTTTAATTCAATATCCCTAAGTCTTCCAACATTATCATCATTACAGCTAGGATCATCCATTCCGTTGGAAATGTGTTTGAATAAATTTTTAACCGAAGAAGAAATTGATGATTTTCATTGTCAATATTGTAATCAAAAATCAAAATTTTCTAAACGAATTGAATTGATAAAACTACCTCGTTTGCTTTGTTTTCATGTACATCGTTTAGTTTGGCTGGAATGTCAACAAACCAAAAGAGTTGAACATATAAAATTTCCTGAAGTTTTAATAATGGATCCATTTAAACATAATTCGATAAAATTTAGCAATAAAAAAGATCGAGAACAACTGAAATCTTCTGCTGGTGGTGATATCGGAAAACAGCAGCAATCGATAAGTCATGAAGGAATTTCAGCTCAATATATTTATATACTTAATTCGGTTATCGTACATTTGGGTAATAATCATTCTGGTCATTTTGTTTGTTATCGAAGATCTAGATCTCCAACACCATCACCAACAACATCAACCACCACCGCCACCACAACCATCAACGATAATGATTGTCGTTCATTAATGAAAAGTAAATGGTTTAAAACATCGGATCTTTTGGTGAAAGAAGTGAATAAAAAAGAAGTATTTGCAAGCTGTGCATATATGTTATTTTATGAAAAAATTAAAAAAGAATCTTTTTTGTTAAAAAAAGATCAAAGTTGAAAAATATTTATAAAAAAAAACTTTTTTTTTGTCGAATAAAAGTTTCGTTTATTTTTTCGTGAAAATTATTTTACAATAATGTATATCCTCTCTAAAGGCACATAATTAGACGTATAAGTGTAGGTAGGTAAGGATTAAGTATGAATTGATTTTTCTAAATAATCTTTGTTTATCTGGATGAATGCTGAATATATGCTGTAAGTTGGTGAGTTATGTGGCCTGTTTATTATAATCATCGGTGATTGAATTGATTCTATATAATGGAATATTATTATTACTATTATAATTGGGATTATTATTATTAATCTGGAATGCTTTCGATGATGATGATGATGATGTATTGAGCTGTTTATTAAGTGTTGATGGTTCCTAATTGCAATTGAAAAAGTGAAAAAATTGAATTAAAAAAGGGAATTTTTGAACACCAGAAAAACAAACAAATATTACCTGTTTATGACGATTTAATTTTGTTTCCAAACGATTACGATCTTTATGATAATAAAAACCGGCAAATACTAATACATTTAATATTAATAATGAACAACCAATTGCTATGATTAAACTTAACCATGTATAAAGATTATTTGATTGTACAATCATTGAAAATGATGCATTACCACCACTATTACCGCCACTATTTAACAAATCTAAGGCACTACTTTCTTGACCTGGATTTAGATTTAGATTTTGTGAATCGTTTAAAATATTTTTCAAATTATTTGTTGAAAATAATTCTTGACTATCGATATTATTATTATTATTTTCCGTTGGTGGTGGATTTTGTTGTCGAAATATTTGAAAATTTGTCGATGAAGAATGATTTTGTTCTGGATGTAAATCTTCTGATTGAAAATAAGTATTGAATGAAACTGGTGCCGATAATGTTCCATATCGAATGATTCCATCATAGGTTTGAATATTATTATGTGACTGTGAATGTGCGAAAATAAACACAAAATACAAAAATAGGAAAAATGAGCATTGAAAAAGATGATTACCTCAAGTAAATGATGAGCTTTTAGATCCGAATCACCTGGTCGATGTAATTGTGGTAATAGATTAAACCAATATGATAAACGATGTGCTTGATAATGATCTTGAATGGTAATTTTATTATTATCTAAAATAGAAAAATTAAAAGAAGTTTTAAAACAATCTTTTCCAGCGAAAAATCAATCCTTACCAAATGAAATATAACGTTGCTGTATTTCATCATATAATGGCCATGATTCTAAATGTTTTGAGCTATTTGAATGATGATCGTGATCATTATCATTGATAATTTTGGTTCCATTTTGATTTGGATCGCCAGTTTTAATGAAATTCGTTAAATATTTTATATAAATTTTTGATAAATTAATTTCTGAACGTGAATAATTTTTTGAAAACCATGAAAATTGTTGTTGCCCATTGCTGACTAATGGTGCACCAAATAAATAGGCCATATCTTGGCCATGAATACAACCTAATCGTGTTGGATAATCAGTACCAATATCAGTTTGATGTAAAAATGTAAAAAAATATGTTCGATGTTGTGATTGTGATTGTTTTGAATGAAAAATTCCTGTACGTATTGTTGGTGCTATAATCAATGAATCACTAAATATATCAATCATTGAATCAAATAAACTGATTGGATGTAAAAATGGACGATTCCAATCAGTATATTCATTGATTATAGTTAAGAATATTTCCTATAGAGAAAAAACAAAGAGAAAAGAAAATCAAATCAGAGAATCGAATCAAATCAATATGATTATTATGATGATGATGATAATTTAATGATAGAGTTTTGCAAGCAAGCAAGCAAAACTAGCAATTGAATTGAATAGAAAAAAAAACTTACTTGAAGATGATAATTGAATAAATTTCTTATCAATGTACGTAATAAACGATCACGACGTGAAAGATCTAGGCCATATTGTTCATCATAATTGGAAAATAAATTATATGATTCAGTTTTAACAACGCCAAACAATAATTCATAAGAACCAAATAGTGGATTTGATTTTGACATTAATGATTGTGGATCATTCGGTATAACGATACCATCGATTATTGGTCCGAATGCTGTTAAATGTGTTGGAATTTTCAAATCGATTGATAGAATATCATCAATCGTTTTATGTCGTAAACATTCGAGAACCATTTTTTCCATTCGTGGATTTTCCAAACAACCCAATATTTTGGCAAAATTTCTAGCATGATAGATGGCATCCGATGCTATGGCCCAAGGTGATAATGCAGAACCACTAATCATTATTGAACGATGAAATAGTCCTAAACATTATTTATGGGAGGTTTTTTTTTATAAAATAAAAATGGAAAACATCATTTGATGATAAATCGAAAAAATTGTTGTCAATAAATAAATAAATTGACAATACCTCTAGCCATTGGTGAAAGCATTAAAAAATTAATACAAGCAGCACCATGTCCATAACCTAACAAAGTAACATTTCTTTCATCACCATTAAATTCACGAATATTTTCCTGTATCCAATGCAGTGCTGCAACTTGATCCATTAGACCAAAATTGCCTCGAGCTGTTCCACCCAATGATGGAAAAAAACCTGTCCATAAAAAAAAGTTTTTTGTTGTCAGATTCTCTGAGTGAATAATGAAAACGCTTACCTAAAACACCTAAACGAAAATTTATGGTTACAACAACAATATTTGAATAGCTAGCCAAAATTGAACCATCATAAACTGAACCAGCATTCCAATCATAAGATTCTCCATGTATAAATACTAATACTGGATAACGATTTAACGATCCTTTCGGGTTGTTAGCTTTGTGGTTTCAGCAATTAAATTATCATTACCACCAATGTTAAAATAATCGTTAAAAATTACTTACCACCAAATGGTGTATAAATATTTAAATATAAACAATCTTCACTTTGATTTTTAAGCATTTCATTCCATTTTCGTAGTAATTTTAATCTTCCTTTAGTCATTGATTGCAGTGCTAATGTTTCATTTCGTAAATTATTTGGAAGTCGTTGTGGACAAACTGGACCAAAATGATTAGCGATTTTTACATCCGACCAAATGGCCGGTGTTACTGGTGGCATAAATCGAAGCTTGCCGATCGGTGGTGATGCATATGGAATACCTAAAAATGCTTCGACTGGTTGTAAATATGTTCGGTCAGATGATGTGGATGACGATGTGGATGCGGATGATGGCGATGATGGATTAATAATGATACCACGTAATGTACCATATTTTGTTTTGATTGTACGGCTACTTAAACGTTGATTATTCGAACAAAAACAATATTTATTATTCAATATAAATGATGATGTTAATATTAACAACAATAATTTATAATGATTATGATGAGGATGAAAATTTCTTAAATTAAAAGTTGACATTTTTTTTACAAAAAATTCTTAGAAAAAATATTACAAAAACAAAATTATAAACATGGTTATAGTAGAAAAAAAGAGAAGGGCTTCACATTCGAATCGACAAAACGTTCGAATTGGCAAAAAACATTCGAATCAGGCAAAGAAAAGACGATGCCAAATGACTGACTGAGAGATAGAATCACCCGAGAATCACTCCACCATTTTTTTTCGTTTCGTTCGTTTGGTTCGTTTCATTTAGTTTTTTTTGGTTCATCAACGAATTTTTTACAACGATAACAATAACAACAACAACGAGATCTCGTATTTGGATCGTCGACACGCGCACATCAGAAACATGAATTTTTCTTATAACCGAAAAACCAAAAACCAAAACTAAAACTAACTATAGTGGAACCATTGATTTAATGTTTTTTTTCTTTTCTTCTTTTCTCGGGAATTTCTTTTTGGAGTCGACCGTTCTGCTGGTCAGAATAAAAGAAAAGAAACGAAGAATTTCAACTGGAGTCAGTAAGTAAAAAACAAGCTCAAAATTTTTTATTTATTTTCCTATATAGTTTTGCTATATATAAAAAGTCAATGTTTTTAAAATAAAAATTATCAAAAAAAGGGTAACAGTGTTTATAACAATTATTACGATGATAATTTACAAATTTTCGGTAAATCACAATCATTTTGATCATTATAAAATTCATTAAAAAATAAATCAATATTACATAATGAACTATTACAACCACGTACTATAACAGGGATTTCGTTGACTAATGTTAACACTTTGAATGCCGGTTGTTGTTGATGTTGGTCTTGTTGTTGAGAATTACATTTATAAAGTACAGCAACAAAATTTGTTCCAAACGGTACAATCAAACTGGAACGCCATTCACGATCATCAGCTATGCAGAAACGAGTATTGTCATTATCATCATCTGATGATGGTAGATCAAGATTCACATCGGGAAATTTATTAAACAGTCCAAAATAACTGAAAACTTTTGATAATAAATTTTCATGTGAAAAATATAATGTTGTATTCGTCAATTGGGCTTCAGGTTGCTGAATGATTGAAACTAATTTCGATTGCAAATCACCAATAACCGAACAAGCCATTTTACGATATGGTTCAATTTGATATGCATCAAAATATTCATCAATATCTAATAAATATTCAATAATTTTCAATTCGGATTCGGAAAATAAATGACACCATGGTGAAAATGTATAAATAGCTGTTTCATATGAACAAGCTTTATACAGCATTATCAACGATTCAATTTTCATAGTATATTTCAATCCATTTCTTTGGCTAAAATTTATTGACATCATTTTTATTGGTTTACTTTCGAGAAGTTTGCTAAATTTTTTTGATTTTGGTATTTTTGACGATGAAGATTCAGATGATTCCGATAATGAATCCTCGATAAGACGTTTACATTTTTTATGTGACATTAAAACATCTTTGGAGATTTTCGGGAATTTTTTCTGTTTGATTTCTATATAAACAAAGAGAAAAATGAATGAAAAACGGATGCTAAAAATTTGGAAGATTACCATTTTTTGATTGAGAATTTTGATGATTTAATTGAATATTGATTAATGAATCAATAAAAGCATCAGCTGTTTCTTCCGTACGAATTTTCGTTGATATTCCGACATCAAATTGAGGAATTTTCCCAATATCAAGCAATGTTGGAAATAATTTATAAAAAATTTCAGCTGTAAAAAATGGAATTAGAAATTGGAAATTCAATAATCAAAAAACACTTACCTGTTCGTGCTGTTTGTAATTTACCCGTATAACTAACATGATTATCATCATTTGGTAACATACGAAAACGCCATGTTATTAAATAGATATACATACGATAATTTAATTTATCCGATTCCAGTAATTCTCTGCGAATTGAATGTAGTAGTTGATTAAATTTACCAATTTCACGTGCTGATGGATAACGTATTGAATGACGATTCAGGAAAAATAAATAAATTGGTTGACATTTACGAAGTTCTTCATTTGGCCATTTGGTTGGAAAAATTTTACGAATTTCTTCTCTTGCAGTTAGATATGTTGTTTTTGTGGAAAATAATCGATATTTATTACATTCAAGTGTATCGTTTGTCGATGACGATAAAACATTTGAAAAATCAAAACATGTCGTTTCATTTGATTCGTTGGTGGTGGTTTGAACAAATCTTTCATCAATAAAAATCGAAATAATAATGATTAAAAATATTCGGGAAAAATTCCACATTATTATCGTCATAAGATGATCATTGCAATTTAACCGAAATTACAAAATGTTAAATGGCAAAACAACAATGTTATTGACGAACGTTTGTTCGCTTGTTTGCTTTCGTTTTCGAGCAATCGCGAATTGGATGAAAAAAATTTAATCAGCTGTTTCGAAAACTGAACTTTGACGAACAAGTTTCTTTCGTTCGATATTTCATTATGAGCTTGGTATATCTTGTTTTTGCTCTCTTTTCGCTTAAATGTCAAAAATTATGCAATCAATCAATAAGACAAGTAAAAAAAAATTGATTAATGTTGAAAATGAAAAAAAAGTCAAAATGGCTCTTTCAAAACAAAACGAAAATTTACACCGTTTTGAAACCGATTGTGTTGAAATGGAAAAAAATGGTGTTCGAATTCGAACGAATAATTCGTTCGAATCGAAAAAATCGAAAATTTCAAAAAAAAAAAAAAAATGAAAAGATCAGATATGCGATGGTACGCGATGTTTTCTTGGAAAAAAATTTATTTTTAATTTTGTAATTTACAAAAGCAAATTGTTTGTTTGAATGAATTTTATTCTAATTTTGTTTTTGTCTTTTGATTTCCGATTTCAATCAATCAACTTTTTGTTGTTGACATTTTGTTTTTTTGTTTTTAAGAAATGAAACCTTATATTTCTCCCCTTGTTATAAGGTATGAAAATTTTTTTCTCTCTTTCCAATTTCAATGTACTAAAAACAACATTTACCCAAAAACAAAAAAAAAGGTTTCATCATCATTGAAAAAAAATTGGTTTTGATGGAGCAAACTCCATTCGTCGAATAGAATATGAATATGAATTTCGTTTTTTCGTTTTTGGATTTGAAATGCCGATTCGGTTGTCAAGTTGTTGTTAACAAATTTTTCCAAAAAAACGAACAAACACAAGACGCACACAAGGATAATGATGACGATATTGGCTACGACGACGACGACGACAGCAACGGGTCTTTTTATTCTTTTAATATTTATTCTTTTTCATCATGAAGTTCTCGGGTGTGTTGGTTTCAACGCGCAAATCAATATTTAAACAACAACAACAACAACAAACGAAAATGAATGCCATTTATACAACCAAAAAATACTATATATATCAAAATATACCTAATATATATAGTTTTTCTGGTTTTTGGTTTTTTGTTTTGATGGATTTCAATTTTACTCAAACAAACAAACAAGAATGATGATGATGATGATGATCAGAATCAAGAAAACAAAAACAAATCAAAGATTTACATTATTGTTATTTTTAGACCATCAACAATAACAACAACAACAACATTTGAAAAAAACCGTTATTATCATCATCAACAACACGCGTTCAATTTTTATTGATCAATCAATCAATCAATCGATCGATCGATGATTTCTTTACCTATGTGTAAAACACATATAGATCATCATCATCATTATAATTAATAAGCTCAAGTAGGACAGCCTTTTTAATTTCAATTTTTTGTTGTTGATGTTGTTGTAAAAATAGCCATCATTATCAAGAAACAATCAATTTCTCATTTTGATTTTGTTATCAAGTCAGCAATCAAAATCAAGAAATCTTTTATTTTCGTCATTTGACGATGACACAATAACGACAACGAAAATTATTGTGCCGACCAAGAATAGATAAAAATCAACAACAAAAAAAACTATCATCATCAACAACAACATTGACATTAACGCCGAAGCAGACTCCATATCAAAAAGAGAATTTGCTTCCCCCTTTTTTTTGACAAATAATATAAAGAAGAAGAAGAAAAAGTAGTCAAAAATAGATTTTCTTCATCTTCGATTCTCTTAAATTGTTTTTTTTCTGTTTGGGACATTTTTTTTTGAAATTGAGAAGTAGTTCTTAGTCTTTTATTGTAAACATAACAAATCTAAGTGAATTTCTTTCGTTAAAATCAATCAATTTTATTCAATTCGTACAACGATGGATGATCAAAGACTAATAACATCATCAAATCAAGATGATCAAGAACAACAACAACAAAAATTGGATCATTCCAACAACAACAGTGATATGATGTTGATGGTGATTCAGAATGATGATGATGATGATAATAAATCAAATAATAATCCACAACAACAACAACGACGTCCAAATTTAGTACATTCGGTCAGTATTATTGTTGAACCGGCAGTTAATTTTAGTGATTTGGATGATGATACTACAACAACAACAACATCAAATACTGATGATAGTTTTAATGATGATGAATTACGTATATCACCATCATTACGTATTAGTGAACGTCGTAAAACAATTGCTGGTCCAGTATCAATGTTTGAAGATTTTTATTTTGGTATGCTTACTTATGAATTCTTTGATCAAAAAAATTATTTTATTTTATTTCATTTTTTACCCAGATCAACCTAAAAAAGCTAAAGAATATGATGATGTTGTTCAATCATTAATTGTAAGCTAATGATGTTTCCTATCAATTTATAATTAATAAATTTTTCTATTTCTTAAAGACATCAGCACGATTACGGAAAGAAGAATTTGCACGTTTATTGGAAGAACATGATCAAATTGTTAAAGAAATTCGTAAAGCTGAAACAAATTTAATATAACAAATTCAAACGAATAACATCATTTATTATTCAGAATAATAATAATAATCATTTTCACAAAATTATAAACAAAACAAAAAAATTCAATTTAATTTAGAAAAAACATTTCCAAAAAAAAAAATTAGAAGAAAAAAAAATGAAGACCAATGCCATTGATTATATACGCGATCGCCTGTTTTCATTTCATTTCATTCATTCATTCATGCCTAATATTTTTTTTTTCATTCAATTCACTCAAGCATTGATAGAGATATGATGTTATAAGCCCATTTCTTCATTCATTTAAATAATAATAATCATCAACCAAGAGCTTTTTCTTCTAAGCTTAAGAGAAATTAATAACGAGATTGTCCGTTCACCAACCATTATCAAAGAACAAAAACGAAAAATTCTCTTCAAATATGATTATTATCGATTATCGAAATATATACCCGGGTATTCTTTTCTCTCCCTTTTTGATGAAAATTTTCTTCGTTTTACCTGAATTCTACTCTCATTTTTTTGTCCGAATAATTTCTTCTTTTTTTTAATATAAACGTCCATTTTATTTTCTTTAATTATTTACAGGAAAAAAATTTATTAATTAATTAATTATCAAATGAATTACAAATCATCAAACAGTGACACACATGAAAACAAAACGAAAAAAAGAAACCAAAACCGAAAATTACAAATTTTGTTATTATCCTTCTTTCTTCTCCTTACAAAAACACAATGAACAGAACCAGAACGAGCTTCAAATTTTTGTTTGTTTTTTTTTAATTTCTTTGATCCGATAAAAAACCTTATGTCCACCAACCACCTTCGACACACAAACAAAGATTTTCCCCCAAAAAACAAATCAATAAAATCCAATTGTATTAATCAATATTGTTATCATGTTTATTCTGTGAAGAATCTTCTGATTGTTTTCGTTTCGTTCCGGTAACCAGTTGAATTAGACTGGGAGGATGATCATCATCAACATTTACAGTCGACGAACTCAAAGTCGATAACGTTTCCGATATAGGTGGTTTTGGTTTTGTTTGAAGTGTAATCAATTGAACACGTCTTCCCGGTTTATTATTGTTATTGTTATTGGTCGATTGTTGTTGCTGTTTTGGTGATTCAAATGATAATGATGTTTGTGACAGTAATGATCGATTTTTACTTTGATTATTGTTTCCAACTTTAGCCGATAATGATGGTGATGATTTACGAAAAAATTCCGTTATTGGTGTTGAACATTTCGGTTTATTCAATGGTGATTTTATTTTGCAATGTTGATTTGGTGATTTTGTTTTCATTGATGATGAATTTGGACTAACATTATTCACAGATGGATTAATTTTATTTGGTGTTTTTATGCTAGGATCTAATTCCGATTCAAAATCCATTAATTTTCCTTGATATGGTTTACCTAATTCTTCAAATTCATCGAATACAACAAATGATGAAAAACCATCCGTCGATGTTAGGATTAAAATTCGACCATCCGATGACCATGAAAGATCGGTTAGTCGAAGATAATGAAGATTCGATACATGACCAAATGGTATTGCTTGTTGACTATCATAAAATAGTACAGAATCTTCAGTTGCAACAGCAAATACAATACGATATGGAATACTATACAAGAAACAAAGAAATCGAAAAAATCAAAACCAAAAAAACGAAAAAAATTCAATTCTTACTTGAAAACATTTGTCGGTTCATCCTGGCGAAGTTCAAACACAACAGGGCAGCATTTTACAGCAACACTAAATTTACCGGTTGATAAATAAAAACTGGGCCTAAGGAAAATTTGAAAGTTTTGATTCATAAAAAGTTTTTTTTGTAAATCCAAATCTTTACCTATTCAATGATTTACGTTCAAAAACATGAACACAATTTTCAAAACGATCATTACCAAATTCTAGGATACCGGATGGTGCAAACAATAATTCACCACCAGGACTAAATGTTAAACGACGAAAAAATGACATCATAGTTTGATCATAGAATAATTTACTACTCGATGACGATTTATTTTCGTTGTTGTTGTCGCCGATTTGTTGTTGTTGATCATTGTTGTTATTGTCGAAATTGATTTTATAAATTTTATGCAAAGTTTTACCATTTTTTGAATTGAATACAATCAATTGTCTATCGGCTGATAATGAGGCAATATATTTATTTAATGGATCCCATGTAACACCTTGTACATAGCTATTATGTTCTTTAACCACACGATGCATTTTCGTACCACGTTGTATATCCCAAACAAAAACATTATTATCCACTGAACCTGAAACAAGAAATTGTCCATCACGACTCCAACAAATATCGGATACATCTTGATTATGACCACGTAGAATTTTATGCGTTTTCCATATTTCAATCGATATTGATTCGGATTCAAATAAATTATCAATACATTGATTTGATTGACAATCATTTGATGATAATGAATTTTCTTCATCGGGAAAATATTTCCAAATAAATATTAATGAATCATCATCACCTGATGCTAATAGATTATCATCAAGATTTGGTGAAAACCGAACAACATTAACCGAACGTTGATGTTGTGTTAATTCGGCTAAACATTCGATCGAATCAATTGGTTTTTGATTATTGGTTGTTTGATTTTCCAAATCATCATCAAATGTTGAAGATATTTTCCAAATATTAACATGATTATCATTACCACCAGTTGCCAGGCGATAAAATTTTGTTGAATTTTTTTCCGAATGTAGACGATTTTGTATGTCAACACTTAATATTGGTTGACGATCATGCCAAGATATTTGTGGTATATAAATCTTCATTTAAATTAATTTTTTGTTCTTTGAAAACAACGATTAAAAAACAACAGAAATTGAGTTGACAAGATTAAGAAACAACAGAGAAAAACCAAACAAAACAAAGACAATCTGGCAGGTGTGCCTTGACTTTTTTTTTAAAAAAAAAAGACGAGGGAAAAAAAACTCTCAAAACTAATTCACAAAGAATGTATTCATTCGATGACTACTGCTACCATCTCGAGTCGAAATGATCGAAATAGAATTTTTAAAATTTTTGAAATTTTTTTGCCGCCAATTTTTTTAAAAAATATTTTTTTTATTTATCTTCTGAAATTTCTGAATCTTTATAATAAATAATGATGATTGATAGATTGATTATAACAAAGAAACGAAAACAAAAAAAAAACTAAAAATAAATAAATGAAATGTACATTTGGACAATGAAAATAATAATAAAAACATGAGCCAAAAATGTTGTCCAACATCTATTAGCTTGTAGCAGATGATTATCCGATGATGATGATGATGATGATGTTGAATCCAAACCCCATAGCTCACCATTACCACCACCACCACCGCCATTATTATGATTAAATGTGCGAATTTTTAATGTAGAATTTAATTGACTAATTTGTTTGAAAAAATATGATACACACCGTAGTTGTAATTCTGACATTTGTAACAGATGTTTATTCATACGTAACCAAAGGCCTAATATTGTCAACGATTGATATGTATCATAATGATGACGATGATGTTGATCATAACGAATTAAATCACTTTCATTTGCTGGAATTTGATTGATAAACCATCGTAGCTGAGCATTTTGCATTGTTGTTGTACAATTTAGATTTAAAATTTCATCCAAACGGAAATTTTTTTTCATTCCAGTTATTACTGGTTGACGAACATTTGGTTGTAATGACCATTCACGTTTATTTTTATTTTTTACTAATGACCCGGTAACTAAATGTTCAATTGCATCATATTCATAAACAATTGTTAATGTTGCAACGCATTTAATTTCCAAAATACCCATATGAAAATATTTTGGTTTAGCCACTAAATTTAAACCGATACGTGATGTAACCAATGTTGATGTTGATCGTTCATTTGTCATATTTATAACATAACGATTATCAATCTATAGAAAAGCAAGCAGAATCAATTGATTAATCAATTTTTCAATGACATTTTCATTTACCGGTAAATTATTAATAAACCATTCTAATCGTACAGGTGGCCATGATTTTCCTGCTTTACATACAAGGCTAATATTTTCACCATAATTATATTGATCCATAATGCCCAATATTTGAACATTTTTTTCCGGTAAAACTATAGATTTTTCAATGGACAATTTTATCATCAAAATATCATTATTTTAGAATAGATTTTTCACAAGAAAAACGATACATACCATATATTTTCATCAATTGTTCACTACGTACAGTAGAAAATATCGGACCTAAATAATGACAAAAAAAAAACAAAACAAAATAATCAATTAAAATGATCATTACATTTTTGTTGTTGTTGTTGTTTTCTATCTATAGATCTTGATATTTCTAGTTAGTTATCAATCAATCAATCAATCAATTTTGTTGATCAAATAAGGAAAAACAAGCGAAAAATTTTGGTTCAATGTTGTTTGTCATCGAACGAATGTTTTCTTTGGACTCGCCCAGCAAAGAAAGAACAAAAAAAAACAAACGACGACTGATAAGGTTGAAATAGAATCGAATGTTTTGTGTGTGTGTGTGTTGAGTAGACATTATTTATTCTTTTTTTGTTTCTTCCTTCCATTCTTTTTTCTTTTCTTTCTTTTCTTTTTGATCAAAAAGTCAAAATTTATCTTTATCTGTTTATTATAAACACTGGTAAGTTAAATAATTTATTAATAAACCTAAAATGATTTCGTTTTTTTTTCTTTGTTGTTAGTTAATTTCGTATACGACGACAACAACAACAAATTAAACAGAAAAAAATGGAGGGGGAAAAATGCTGTTCAACAAACAAATGGCTCAATATAACAAGCATTCTTCTCTTGTTTTTTTTTCTCCTGGATTCTTTCTCGCTTTCATTAACCGAATTTTTTTTCTTCTCTTGCTGCCCAGGTATAGAGAAATTCTTCAAATAAATGTGTGTGTGTGTGACTATATGGAAAAAGATATTATTATTATTTACCTTCGGTGCTGATTTCACAAATGTATAGGCCATCGGAATTCTGTTTATCGTATTATCATCATCATCATCATAGTTGTCGTCCAGCCAGCCATCATCATCGTTATTTATATAAAAAAAATAAACATTTCGAGCCGATCATCACGCAATTAAGAATAAACGACATATACACAACGAATGAATGAGACACATTAACGATTTTCGTTGTTTGAAAACAAAAAAAAGTTGAAAAGAAATTAGACCCAGAAATATATTTTGATGATAATGATGATGAAAATGGTCAATGTGATTAGTGATTATACGTCCGGAGTTGCATCGAATTGGATCGCCAATATTGGGTGGTTTAGGTGAAAACAAAACAAAACAAATTAGAGAAATATGAAAGAAAAATGACTATTTTGACTTACCAAATTTGTTTGACTTAAGACGACATGTGTCGAATTTGATGCTTTTAGCTTGTGTTTTTCAAATGAAAAAAAAGTAAAAGAAAATTATTATAAATCTGCTGGTGTAGAAAGGTAGGTAGAATTTTTTCAAACGAAAAAAAAAATTTGGAAAAATTCATTCAATTTCCAAATTCATTTCATTTCGATGATTTATCGATTTTGTGACTCATCATCGTCATCATCATTGATTTTGGCCATTATTAACCGTAATAATAATGGGCTATCTCATGTGTCTCTCGAAGTTTTTTTTTTCGTTTTGCTCGTTCGTTTTGGGTGTAACTCAAAATTGTTTTTTTTTAGATTTTTTGGATTTTTTTTCTTTCATAGTGAAACAAGAATATTATGCAGGTGAGCAAATCAATAATGGAATCACAGGTAAAGGTTGTTGTTGTTGTTGAAAAAAACCCAGAAATATTGAAAAAAACCAATTTCAACAACAACAACAAGACAGGTAATCAAAGAATCTTTTTTGTTGTTTTGGTTGTTATACGAGATTCTCGAATTCTCGAATGTTTTGTTTTTTGTTTTTTTTTTTTTGTTGAATGTCATCTATGAACTGGTCTTTCAAATGATGGTTTTCCGAAAATTGAATAAACGATAATTGGCTATATCGGATATTTCGAGTTTTGGGAAAAAAATTCTGGTTGTTTTTTTTTGCTTTTCAGATTCTAATCATTATTATTATCAATATTATTCTTGTTTAATGGATGTAAGAAAGTTTTTGTTTTGTTTTTTGTTTTTCACAAAAGGCGTTTACCCAAGAAAAGATAATTTGAATTTTATTCAATGTTGTTTTGGGTTACGTTGTTTGTGTATGTGTGTGTTTCGAATGTTTTTGAAATTCGTTCGAATTCTTATTCGTTATTCGTTCGAAAATTGAAAATTGTGTCCAGGCTTTGAGATCATTTGTCAATTTGTTATCATCGAAAAACGATCAAGATATTTTAATAATGGACGAAAATCAAAACCTTATCGATATTCAGGATTTTTCTTTCCTCGCATTGGAGCTAAAATTTCAAATTGAATAAATTCACTGATATATCCTCTATATCTAATTCATTTTGATCTATCATCATTGTTTCTTGAAAAACAAGGTAAATATAATGGAAATTCAAATGATTATTATTATTTATTCTTTTCTTTGGTTGTTTGTTATTCAGATATAAAATTTCAGGTCCACACCCCGAACCAAAACAAAAACAGAATGGACATGCAAAACAAAAAATGATAATGATGATGATGATCGAAACGAGAAAAAATTGTTTTTTTATGAATGAAATGAATGACTTACATTAACATAGATGCCCAATAATTTATATGATTGTTTTGGTGTCAATTCTTTTGGTACGTAACGAAAAAATTCAATATTATTTTTATAAAATTTTATTGCATATAATTCTTCATGTGATTCTAATTGATAATCACAATATAATGTTGCTGAATGGCCACGTTCAACTGCTTCGGGCACTTCAAAACGATTTATATGTATACTGTTACTATCTATATTGTTTGTTTGTTCGTTGTCGTCATTGTTTGTTGATGCCGGAACCATGATTTTTGATTGAAAATCAAATGATGATAATTTGTTTGATGGCAAATCAATAGAGTGATAAAGCAAGAAAAGTAAGAAAAAAGAAAAGAAAATTAATTTAGTTTAATTAATTTTTTTTTGGTTTAATTAAACGTTCATTACTAATATGGCCAATGGGTCTTTTTCCGTACAACAAATAATCAACAATCAATCAAAAAATCGGTGCAAAAAATCAAAATTCATTTTGAATTTGAGATTTTCTTTCTATTGCCACAATTATTTCATCATCATCATCATTATGACGAAAGAATTTATCATTTACATTTACATTTCAATATTCAATTTCGCGAAAAACATTGGTAAAGTATTTTTTCATTATTATTATTTAGCTAGCCATTTGTAATAACGATTCTTCTTTCATGAATCTAATAATAATATTTTTATTTTGAAGGGGGATATAGAAAACTTCAAAAATAACACCACCACACCACTGCCACCATTAGACTTTTTTTTCTCAATTTTCTTCAAAGTTATAAACATTTTGTGTGTGGAATAAATTAGCATGTCAAATGGATGGTTTTTCTGGTTTTCTAGTTTTACGGATTTTCATAAATTTGTGTGTGTGTGAGGTACATTACTAACATACACACAGAGAAAACGTTCAGTGATATGGATGGATAAGATTGTTGTTGTTGTGGTTGAAAACAAGATAGATTTTTTTTTCATTTTCATTTTTCAATCATGGTTAAAAACAATTGGAATTTAATGTCATGTTATGCAAGAAAAATCAACGAATACACTAACACACAAGGAATCAATTGATATTGAATTCTTTTTTCTCTCAAAATTCGTGTAAGAATTTGGAGATTCACGATTAACATAGAAATTGATTATAAGAAAAACGAAGACAATCAATTCACTTCAAATCACCAAGATGATGATGTCAAGTCATAAGTACGAGTGGGTGGGTGGTTTTCTGGTTCGATGATCTCCACACTTTGTTCCAACAAACATACACGCACACACAGAGAGAGAGAGAGAGAGAGAGAGAGAGAGAGAGAGAGAAAGAATATGCATAAACATGGATGGACATTTGATGGTTTCCTGATTTTTTCATTGAATCAAACAACAACAACGATAAACAACATCAAGATTGAATGAAAAATTTAATTTAAAAAAACCAAAAAAAAAAATTAATCGATTTCCGTCATATTTTCCCGTCGTTGCTAAGCCTTGTTGTAATTTTTTTTTTTTTTTTGATAAGTGTTTTTCATCAGTTGAATTTTATAAAAATAAATTGTTTTTTTATTAAAATTAAACAATAAAATTCAATAATTAGATTCTTTATTACAACAACGTACGGGAAAAAAAATGGCAGATTTTCAATTTAAAAATGAAAACAATGAAAATTTTCATTCATTCATAACAATAATTCGCTGGTCGTTAGTGTTGAAAGAATTTTTCATGACAGATGTTCTTAGTTGAATATTCTTCGTTTTTCTACAACCAGAAAAATGATTTCATAACGATAATCGTAAAACAATTATTTTTTGATAATCGCAAAACCTGTAAACCGATTTTTAAAAAAAAATTCAAAAAATCGTTATGTGTGAATCTTGTCGATTTGCATGAATTTGATGTGTGTGTGTGTGTGGTAAGAAAAAAATTGAAAATTGATTTTTTACCCATGTTATCAAATATCGATTCTAGTACAAGGTAAGAATTCATTTAATCAAAGAAGAAAAATTTCCCAAGAAAATCTTTTCCCGGAAAATTTCTCCATTCCTTTTGTTTCCTTTCGGTTCAGGTTCTTTTCATTTGTTTACCTGCTCAAATCGAGCGAAAAAAAAAGATATTTTCTAAATTCTGCTTACATAATCATCATTTTTTTTTGGTCGACAAGCCTAATCGGATCAAAATAGAAAACATTTCTGGCCAATTTGTTTCGGATAAAAAATATTTTCATTTGCAATGGAATTATCATTATTTCCACCAAAAAAAAAA